ACTACTATGTCATTATATTGTAAATACATTGCTATTATATTGTAATTACATCTAAGATAATATTTATGAGCGCATTTTATCTTGTGTTACATAGTAATTACGTTGTAGTTACATCCAAGTTTCTTTGTATACTGCATGTACAGTATTTGGTTATTTATATTTGTATATTTAACCATACACAGTACGCGTAGTAATAAACTTAATTACTATGCCATTACATTGTAATTAAATTGTTATAACATAGTAATTACAAAGATGATAGTATTGTAAATGGCTTTTTGTATATTTCATGTACAGTATTTTTGTGTTATAATTATATACAGATACACAGCATACATGTAATTTTTAATTACAAACTTTTATCTTGGATGTAATTAATATGTCGTTACATTGTAACTACTGTGTCAGTACATTGTAATCACGTTGTAGTTACATCCACTATAATATTTATAAATGTAAATATTTATGTGTATATTGCATGCACAGTGTTTAGTTATTTAAAGTTGTATACATAAGTATACACAATAAACGTAATTACAAACTTTCATTTTGTGTGCAATTACTGTGTTGTTACATTGTAACTACTATGTCATTACATTGTATTTACATTGCTTTTACATTGTAATTACATTCAAGATAATATTCATAAACAAATCTTTCTTTGTATTTTATATGTACAGTACTTGTGTATTTATTCATAAATATGTATGCAGTACATATGTAGTTGCAAATTGTTATTTTGAATGTAATTACATTGTTATAACATTGTAATTAAATTGATAATGGAATTGTAAATGTGTTTTGGTATATTTCATGCTCAGTATTTGTGTGTTATAATTATATACATATACACAGTACAAATGCAATCTTACAAAATTTTTGTTAATCACTGAGTCATTACATTGTAAATATTCTGTAGTTAAATTGTAACTACACTGTAAATATATCCAAGATAATATACAAATGTAAATGTGTTTTTGTATATTTCCTGTACAGTATTCGCAAATTATAGCTGTATGCGTAAATATAAACCATACACATATATATGCAATTACAAACTTTTATCTTGAATGTAATTAATATGTCATTACTTTGTATTTACATTGCTTATACATTGTAAGTTCATCTAAGATAATATTTATGCACTTTTCTTTGTATATTTCAAGTACCGTATTTGTGTATTCATATGTAAATATACACAGTACATATGTAATTACAAACTTTATTTTGAATGTAATGACATTGTAATTACATTGATTTAACAATGTAATTACATAAGAGATTTAATGTGTAATAACAAACGTTCATCTTGTATTACATTTTAAATATATTGTAGTTACATCCTAGATATTTATAAATTTAACTGTTTATTTGTATATTGCATGTACAGTATTTGGTTATTTATATTTGTATATTTAATTATACACAGTACACATGTAGTTACAAACTTAAGGACTGTGTCATTACATTGTATTTAAGTTGTTATAACATAGTAATTACATAGATGATAGTGTTGTAAATTAGTTTTTGCATATTTCAAGTACAGTATTTTTGTGTTTTAGATATATATAAATACACAGTACACATGTAATGTGTAATGACAAACTTATTGTTGAAGTAGTTACTATGTCGTACATAGTAATTACTATGTCATTACATTGTAATGACATAGTAGTTATATACATGATAATATTTATAAATGTAAATATTTATTTGTATGTTGCCTGTACAGTGTTTTGTCATTTATAGTTGTTACGCAAATATACACAATAAATGTAATTACAAACTTTCGTTTTGAGTGCAATTACTGTGTCATTACATTGTAACTACATTGTATTTACATTGCTGTTACATTGTAACAACATCCAAGATAATATTTATGCATGTTTTTTGTATATTTAACGTAGAGTATTTGTGTATTTATATGTAAAGTACACAGTAAATATGTAATTACAAACATTTCTTTTGCATGTAATGACATTTAACTACATTGAAATGTAATATGTATTTACAAACTTTTATCTTGTGTGAAATTACTGTGTTGTTACATTGTAATTACAATGTAGACACATCCAAGATATTTATGAATCTGTTTCTTTGTATATTGAATGTACAGTGTTTGTTCTTTATGGTTGTATACGTAAATATATATATATATATACAGTACAAATAAACTTAATTACTATCTCATTTCATTGCAATTACATTGCTATTGCATTGTAATTACATCAAAGATAATATTTATAAACAAATGTTTCTTTGTATAGTTGACATGCATTTAAATATAGGCAGTACATATGTAATTACAAAACTGTTATTTTGAATGTTATTATTATGGCATTATATTATAATTAATATGTAACAACATTGTAATTACATTGTTGTAACATTGTAATTACATCTATGATAGTATTTTAAATGTCTCTTTGTATATTTCACAATTCTCTTCGTATGTTCATACATTATTGTGTATCCTGTCACATTTGCCATGCAAAAACAGTGCTAAACTAAACTTGTTTATGTTATAAAGCCATTGTGTGTGCTTGAAGTAAATAAATCAAATAACCATTGGGAAAGTTCTTACCGTAGTAAAGGAGACCTGCTTCACTCTTGTCTGTCACTGTGCTGTTTATCTACATGAGCTGTGAGCAGCAGAAAAAGGCTACAATCTTCAGCGCATCACAAAGAGATCTCCATACTCTGACACGATGCAATTCTGGAAAGTATTTATGAATAATTTCTTCAAATTTGTACATGCCAGTTATTGAGCATAAACAGTGGGAAACCAAGCATGTTTATTAGCATCTGATGAATACAAAAACAGTGGTATTCACAATCAGAATTCATCTTAAACCCTCAGGCCTTTAAAGCACCAGATGGAAAAACTGCAGACAATAAACAGAGCATTATTGTGTGTTGGTTTGCACACAGCTAGTTGTTTTAAATAGCTACAGTGCATCTGGAAAGTATTCAAAGATTCACTTTTCCACAATTTTTTATGTTACATCCTTATTCCAAAATGGATTAAACTCATTTATTTCCTCAAAATTCTACAGACAATACCCCATAATGACAATGTGAAAAAAAGATTTTTTGAAATTGTTGCAAATTTATGTATGTATATATATATATATATATATATATATATATATATATATATATATATATATATATATATATATAATTAAAAAATCACATGTACAGAAGTATTCACAGCCTTTGCTCAATACGTTGTTGATGCACCTTTGGTGGCACAAAATTACTGTCACAAAAAAACACAAAGCCAATTTAGAAAAGTGTTGTAAACCGGTAACCATTGGATTCTATAGTATTTTTCCACTACTATGAAAGTCAAATACAATTTTTTTATTTTATTTTTTTCAAAATAACTTATTTTGTGCTCAACAGAAAAGGAAATTCATAAAGGTTTGGAGCCACTAAGGGTGATTAAATACTGAATAAATTATCATTTTGAAGTGGGGGGGTCCTTTCAAATAAATTTTAATTGCATTTACCAGAAAATTTCATGTAATAAATTAAGAATTTGCTAAAAAATTCAGAATTTATGGATCATTAGATTAAGTGAAGTCTATTTATAAAATAATTTCGAGAGGATCATGTGCTTATGATTGATCACGGCTGGTCCAGCATTAGCTAACGCATGATTCACCAATCAGATCATTCATAACTCACTATAAATAACCAGAGTTTCTTATTTCAGTTATAATCACCTTGAAGAATCCCCCTTTCACCTCTACTCCTCCTCCTTTCCCTTTATAGGGTGGTATGGTGCGCCAGTGGTTGCACTGTTGCCTCACAGCAACAACATCACTGGCCGGTTGGCGTTTCTGTGTGGAGTTTGCATGTTCTCTTCGTTCTAATGTCGGTTTTCCATCCTTCGGTTTCCTCCAACAGTCCAAAGACATGCGTCATAAGTGAATTAATAAATCTAAACGAGCACTATAGTCAAGCTCTTAACCAGCAGGATATCTCTTTATAGCAATTTATAATTTCTCATTAGCCCTATATATATAGTTATATATAGTGGGGTGGGGGAGTTAGGACGATTCTAAGGGCCCAAGCATTTTGGGGGCCCCGAGAGATATTATATAGATAGATAGATGCATGTATATATATATATATATATATATATATATATATATATATATATATATATATATATATATATATATATATATATATATATATATACATACAGTTGAATTCAGAATTATTAGCGCTTCTTTACACTTTTTCCTTTTATAAATATTTCTTAAATGATGTTTAACTGAGCAAGTACATTTTCACATTATGTCTGATAATATTTCTTCTTCTAGATAATTTATTTTATTTTACCTATAAAAGCAGTTTAAAAAAATGTTTTAACTATTTTATGGTCAAAATTATTAGCTCCTTAAAGCTATATATATTTTTTCGATAGTCTACAGAAAAAAAGCATTGTCATACAATAACTTGCCCAATTACCTTAACCCGCTTTATTAACCTATTTAAGCCTTTAAATGTCACTTTAAGCTGTATAGAAGTGTCTTGAAAAGTATCCAGTCAAATATTATTTACTGACATCATGGCAAAGATCAAATAAATGGATTATTAGAAATGAGTTATTAAAAGTATTTTTTTAGGAATGGGTTAGAAAAATCTTCTCTCCGTTAAACAGAAATTGGGGGAAAAACAGGGTGTTATTAATTCGGGGGTGGGGGGGGGGACTAATAATTCAAACTTCATCTGTATGTATGTATGTGTGTATATATATATGTGTGTGTGTGTGTGTATATATATATATATATATATATATATATATATTGTATGCATTTGTTTATTTATTTATTCATTCCTTCATTCATTCATTAGAAATGTGTGGACAGAATGCTTTCATTGGTAATGTGTCAGGTCCTCTTGGAGGGTTTATTTTGGGCGGTCTCTCGGCGCTGACTTATCTCACCAACAGGGGCTTCTGTGTTAACTGAGGCTAAATAAACACAGATGAACTGTCGAGCACATTCACAAAAATGTCCTGGCAATGTCTGCCTGACTTCACAAGACTCTTGGAAACCACAGGAGAAGCACGTCACCTCAGAAATACACTGACATGGAGTTTTAAACAAGCGAAGCAGACATGATCCTTCCAGAAGACTTCACTGCAGCTGACCGAGCGCTCGTTTGACACTTACAGCGCGCTTCAGCTCTTATTCAACATTTTTTTCTTCATCTTTTACTTTTTTTTAACTGGACTTATTAGTCAGGCTGGACATCCGAAATGAAGAACCCACATCTAAACAGTCCCTGCAAGATCCTGAACACGGTGTCAGGAGACAAGAAGATGAAACGGAAAGCACGAGAGCCAATTAAGCATGTCAGTGAGGATCATTACCCTTACTTTAAACTCTACAAAAACCCGCATCTAATGGCAGAGACACTTGGAGACGGTAGTCCGCAAGAAACGCACAGGTCGGAAATCATCACGTCGAGGGATGACAGTGTCAGAAACGACGTTTTGAATACCGCCGTAGACATGAGGATTAACACCATAACTGCAGCAGAAGTACCTGACTCGAAATTAAGATCCGTCTCCGAAAAGACTGTCAACAGCAAAATAGTTCAGGCAAGTCCTCAAGTGTCTGTTTTGAGCGCTCCGCAGGTTTTTCCTTTGGAGCGGGTTGTGTTGTCTCAGCGCGCAGCCTCTCAGGCGCCTGCAGGCGGGAGCGAGCGCGCGGAGTCGCCTAGGAAACGCGCTGGAGAGCCGTCTGGCGTCGTCACGGAGATCAAAGCCATTCAGCAGACTCGGAGGCTACTGGCGAACGCGCGCGAGAGAACGCGCGTGCACACCATCAGCGCAGCCTTCGAGGCGCTCAGAAAGCAGGTAAATTCCCACGGGCCACATTGATTCGGTGTTGTATGAAGTGCAACAGGATGAATGTTCTCATAAATTCTGAAGGTTCTGGCAGTGGCTTTAGCTGAAACCGCGGAAGAAAGAAGGATAGAGGAATAGGTGGAGTATAATGTATCCAAGCCTGCGAATAAACACAAAGGAATGTATACACGATTTTTTTTTTTTTCTTTATTTCTCATGAAGTTTCTCCAAGGAAGTAAAGAAGGAAACAAACTTATAACTTCCCCAATTAGCTTCTTACACAGTAAGAAGGATTTGAGCTGTTTTGATGGAGAGGTTTTATACCTGTGAATCTGTAGTGAGTATCTTATGAGTAGTGCTGGCCAACTTTTTATTGTGATTAATCGCATCCAAATTAAAAGTTTGTTTTGACATATGTGTGTATTATATATATTTATTATGTATATGTGATACACATACAGTTGAAGTCATAATTATTAGCCCCCCTTTGAATTATTATTATTCTTTTATGTTTCCCAAATGATGTTTAACAGAGCAAGGAAAATTTCACAGTATGTCTGATAATATGTTTCCTTCTGGAGAAAGTCTTATTTGTTTTATTTCGGCTAGAATAAAAGCAGTTTTTAATTTTTTAAACGCCATTTTAAGGACAAAATTATTAGCCCCTTTCAACTATATCTTTTTTCAATAGTCAGAACAAACCATCGTCATACAATAACTTGCCTCATTACCCTAACCTGGCTAGTTAACCTAATTAGCCTAGTTAAGCCTTTAAATGTCACTTTAAGCTGTATAGAAGTGTCTTAAAAATATCTAGTCAAATATTATTTACTGTTATCATAGCTAAGATAAAATAAATCAGTTATTAGAAATGAGTTATTAAAACTATTATGTTTAGAAATGAGTTGAAAAAAATCCTCTCACTGTCAAACAGAAATTGGGGACAAACATTTTCTCAAATATATTCATGCATATGTGTATTTATATATAATACAAATATACACAGTACACACACATATATTATGTTAATACAAACTTTTATTTTGGATGTGATTAATCGCGGTTAATTTTTGCGAGCACTTGTGAGCAGTGTTGGGGGTAACACATTACAAGTAACGCGATTTATGTAATAGCATTACTTTTCTAAGTAACTAGTTGAGTATTACTCATTAATTTTCAAAAATAAGTAATAATATTTCAGTTACTTTTCTGAAAATGTGACGAGAGTTACTTTAGTTTAATTGATTAGCTTTTAAAAAATAAATTGCTGAAGTAAAATTAAAGTAGTCACAATGAATAATGACGAAAAAAGGAAAAGGGGATTATAGTCTCAGTGAACAGTGATTTTACTTAAGACAAATACTATAAAAGTATAGCACACACGTTGCTTTCAATAATCTGTATATACGGCATGCACAGCTCTGGGGTCAGGACGTTCTCAGATAAGATTATACTACAATATTATTTTTATGTGTTTTTTAAAGGTAAATGAAGGTTATAGAGTGTGCTGCTTATTGCAGAAATCCTCTATTAAAAACAAAAAAGTTATGAAAGAAATTAAGCCTCAGCCATGCCAGAAAAAGTAACATAATAAGTTACATACTATAAAAAGTAACTAAGCAATGCAACTAGTTACTTTTTTGGGGAGTAACTCAAAATTGTAATGCATTACTTTCAAAAGTAACTTTCTTCAACACTGCTTATGAGTACTAAACTGAGCTGAGTACAAAAAAGTACAAATCAACATGAAGAGAGTCATAAATCATCAGTAACTTTGCTAGGTAGACAAATAAATGGCAGATAGAACAGTCAAAATGTTGAATTATCGGATTGCTTGCATGCGTTTTAATTCTTCTTTATTTACTGATATATTTTTTCTGTCAGTGTAGTATCCACAGTATGTTGGAAAAGACTTTTGATGATTCATTAGTTGTGTTTTATTATTTGTTTTGTGAAAGATAGTAGAAACTTTAGTCAAACTTTATACTGAATATCACAGTACTAACTAAAAAGACTTTACTTTTTATTATGAACATAAATCAGTCTGAAATAGCTAGTATATTTCACAAACACTTCCACAACAAAATGACAACAGCTAATCGGGCTAAAAATGAACATTTGAGTAATCACTATTTTAAAATCGCAATCAACCGGAAGCTGCCATCATCATTTTTTTTGTTTTGTATTATGACGCAGTTCCTAGAGAAACTGAATTTTGGATGAGCAAACAGTAGGCGTGGCTGGTTTTTTCCAGTGAGAGCTGAGTGGATGTTGTAATGTAGCCATTTCATTCAGAAAGATCGGGAAAGGGGGTTTTAGAAGAGTTATTACAACCTAACAGGCTCCTCCTTTTCACCATTTCTGTTTGTTGTCAAAACTGACAGTTGGAGGGGCGGGGTTAAGCATGATAGCCACGCCCATTATCTCAAAGTCATCAGATAATTTAACTGAAAACAAACTGGAAGTGCATTTTCAGATTTAAATTGAAGATTAGAAGGGAAAAGCATTTTTTTTTCTCAATGACATGCACAGATGAATTGTTCACCACAAAAATAGCAATGTGAGCTAACAAAATAATATGGTTAATAATAATATATGGTTAAATTTGATTTATATAATTCAGTATTGCATAAATGAATCAAAATTAGATTGGAACACCTTATTAAATATTATTTATGAATAAAAAAATGTATAATTTAGTCTAAACAACTTCTGCATGTCTGGTGAATGAACGGTCCTGTTTTTGTTTATTCAGCATATGGCATCTCACTATATGGCACCATACACTTCATCTCCAGAGCTGCCTTAAGAATCATTTCTTTGATTTATTTGAAAAATACAAACAAACACAGTGCTCTGCATATATGAGTAGACCACTCACAAATCTATCTTTTAATTTCTTACTTTTAATAGGAAGCTATACAATATTATATTTGTGCATATACATTAGATTAGTCGGTACTGAAGCCAAATCTGGAGCCAATCTAAAAAACAAAATAACTTACTATAAAAGTCCAAAAACAAATACACACAAATTTATATGTTTAAGAAAAATATTAAATACTAATATAAATAAGAAGTAAAATCAAGAGAAGAAAAAAAAGGAAAAAATGTAGTTGCAATATTGTAGGTTGTAATTTTTATTTTGCAATATTTTGCTTGCATTTAATTGTATTATCTTTCAATTTCTATATATATTTGGTGACTAAAATGTTATTTTTTGTTTAAATGCACCAAAAAAACATTGTCTATATTCACTGAAAAATGGAGAAAAATATTAATTTTCAAAATGGGGTGTATTCAATTATGCTGAGCACTGTATTTACAAATACTGTTTAGACCTAAAGTAATTACAGATTGCACTTTCCAAAGTAATAATAATAATAATAATAATAATAATTAAACATTTTCAAAACAATAATCAATTATTTATTTCCCGCTGCTCACATTGTTCATTCTGAGTTTCTAAAAATGCATAAATTTATACATAACATTTTGTAGATGTCATTTTAATTATATACATTTTTATTTATGTAGTACACTGTAAAAAAATATCTATGGTAAAAAAAAAAAAAAAAAAAAAAAAAAAAACTGGCAGCTGTATTTGTCTGAATTCAACCATTAAAAAATATGATAAAAACTGTAAAATAATTTTCTACATTTTATGGTAAGTTACCAAACTTTATTGATTCACAGCGTTAATTAACCAAAATATCATAATAATAAATGTAACAAAAAAAGGCTAATATACATAAGTGATGAGAAAACATTGTAAATAACTAATGTTAACAAAAATATATATATATATATATATATATATATATATATTATTCAATATTCATAGCCCAGGGGTATGAATAATTTTGGGCTTGACTATAAATATATACAGTCATGCCCGAAATTATTCATATAGGCATGACTATATCAGTTGAAGTCAGAATTATTAGGCCCCGAGTTTTTTTATATTTTAAATATTTCCTAAATGACAGTGCACAGAAATTTTCACAGTATGTCTAATAATATTTTTTTCTTCTGGAGAAAGTCTTATTTGTTTTATTTCAGCTAGAAAAAAAAGCATTTTTTAATTTTTAAAACACCATTTTAAGGTAAAATTATTAGCCCCTTTAAGCTATATTTTTTTCTCGATAGTCGACAGAACAAACCATTGTTATAGAATAACTTGCCTAATTACCCTAACCTGCCTAGTTAACCTAATTAACCTAGTTAAGCCTTTAAATGTCACTTTAAGCTGTATAGAAGTGTCTTAAAAATATCTAGTAAAATGTTATTTACTGTCATCATGGCAAAGATAAAATAAATCATTTATTAGAGATGAGGTATTAAAACCAATAAGTTTAGAAATGTGTTGAAAAAATCTGCTCTCCAATAAACAGAAACTGGGGAAAGAAATAAACAGGAGGCTAATAATTCAGGGGGGCTAATAATTCTGACTTCAACTTTATAATGAAAATTCCTATTACTATACTATTAACCAGATTACAGTTTTTATCATTAAAAACACAGTATTTTTTACAGTGCATGCAAGCCTTTTAATGGATCAAATTAATTTTAACTATTAAAATGGATTCAGGAAAAAAATAAAATGTGTCTGAATTAGGTAAAAGAAAACTTTGTATTTCTCTGCTCATATATAGGAGTTATTTTTTATTCTTTATAATCACAATTTCTAATAATCACAAGCTGCATTTTCTCACGTGATGACCTTTTGATCTACTTTTACAGGTACCCTGCTACTCTTATGGGCAGAAGCTTTCCAAGCTGGCTATATTAAGAATAGCTTGCAACTACATACTGTCCCTTGCTCAGCTTGCAGACCTGGACTATACACCAGACCACCGCAACATGAGCTTCAGAGAGTGTGTGGAGCAGTGCACTAGAACTCTACAGGCAGAGGGTCGCTCCAAGAAGAGGAAGGTAAACAGTGAATAATTATAGACTGCTTAACAGAGCTGATTCTGTATTCTTAGACGTAATTCTGTCATCCATTAGTTATTTTTCAACAAGGAGGAATAGTAGCCAAAGCATAACATACATTATGCATATACATGCCAATTAGAGAGAGTTTCCCTTTTGCCTAATAATGATCCTATTAAATGAAATTATCATCAACTTTTGTCAGAGACAGCACTGGGTGTCCCGCCAGCTTCTTTTTTTTCTCCCTCCACTATGCTGAGAAAGCATCCCGGGTGAATAAATGGAGTGATTGATGTGTTTTTGTAGGGAGTTTTATGACACAGTCATCTATGCAGTCCCAATTTCCTGTAGCGCTATCCTATATCAACATGTGTGTGTTCCCTTGGTAAGGATGGTCGTTGTGCTCGGGGGTTATGTACAGCTAACCACACATTTTCCATCATCCTTTTCTTAGGAAAGTATGAACATTTATAATTAATAACCATGCAGCAGTGACAAATCCAATCTAAAAGTGCTTATGCAGGTAGTGCATGGTTGCAGGGTGTCTGCTGGGTCTTAAAAAGTCTTTAAAAAGTATATTTTTGGCCGGAAATTCACTAAAATATTGTGTTAAATCATTTTAAACAGGTCTTAATTTTGTTTTATCCAAGTAAAGCTACTCAATCGAACCGACATCCATCCAATGACCAACAATACATTTCAATAAAACTGTTTTTTTTTTAATAATTATTGCAAAGAGAAACAATTGACAACATATATTACACATTTTTACAGCAAAATCCCCAAATTAAATTTCCCAATCAGGTAAGTAAACAAAAAACAATTACACAATTCCTCATGATAATACTAAGCCATTAGAAAAAGTCTTTAAACCCGTTAAAAGGGGCTTAAAAATCTTATATTTGACTTGATGAAACCTGCAGAAACCCTGGGTCTGTTCACCTCCAGAATGAAAATTTCCTTTACTGACCTCCTTGTCACCAGAGATGTTCATTTCTTTATTTCCTCAGCAGAAAAGAAGGTTTTGTATTGAAAACAATAGTTGTCTTGATACAGTGGGCGTCTATGGTGCTCAGTTGTTTATTATAAATACAGTTGAAAAAAATATTATCCCCCTGTGAACTTATTTAAAGGTGCAGTAGGTGATTGTCTTCAGAAACATGTTTTGTCGTGCTGTTTGAAAGACTCTTCACATTTCAATGGTGATGATTAAAGTAAATGATCTAAATGTCTTTATACGTATTTTTATATTCTGGGTAAGGCATAAGACTAAAAAATGTTCATCCACTTAAAAATTTTGGTCTGACAATTCCCATAATTCTGATAAGTAGCCCAAACTGTCTGTCAACAAATGTAGATGTGTATATCTGTGCACCTGTTCATGCAGATCCGTCATTAGCGCGTGCACACAAGAAAGAGAGAGTGACAGTGGTAAAAACAAATTCTGAATAAAAACTTTTTAAACGCCTGAATCAATATTGGATTTACTTTTGTACGCTGGAGGAAAAGATGACACCATGGCTGAAGTATTTCTTTTAGACAGATAATGTTCTGTTTTAACCCTATTTTAGTCACGCAGAGCTGATGTAGATTGTGTTGGTTTTATGAATGGGTCACACTTTACAATAAGGTTCATTAGTTAATGTTAATTAATGCTATTACTAAGATGAACAAACAATAAACAATACATTTACTACTGTATTTGTTCATGTTAGTTAACGTTAGTTAATGAAAATACAGTAGTTCACTATTAGTTCATGATAACTAATGGTGCATTAACTAATGTTAACAAGCATGGACTTGGATGTTAATAATGCATTAGTAAATGTTTAATTATGATTATTAAATGCTGTACATGTGTTGTTCATGATTAGTTCATGTTAGTAAATGCATTAACTAATGAACCTTATTGTAAAGTGTTACCAATGAATGTGTTATATGCACACAAGTGTTGTTCAGCCACTGAAATCTTCTGACGAATGATTGATGTGACTATTTTGAATTTCATAAATGAACTTTTACAGCATAGATAGTGTAGGTTTTTGATTTAGTTTAACAACAAAACAGAGGTAAATAGCGCTATTCTGCCAAGCCTGCTTTACTGAGGTGAAGTTGGTTTTATATTCACTTCATTTTTTAATAATGACAACCTGTGACAACGCGCTTCATATATTGTTTACCATGCTACTCTGAATATTTGCTCTAAAATAGCATGTACAGTTGAAGTTTTGATTAGCCCCACTTTTAATTTTTATCTCTTTTTTTAATATTGCCCAAATTATGTTTAACAGAGCAAGGAAGTTTTCACATTATGTCTGATAATATTTTTTTTCTAGAGAAAATCTATTTGTTTTATTTTAACCAAAATAAGAGCAGTTGTTAATTTTTTAAACACCATTTTAAGGACAAATTATTAGCCCCTTTAGGCAATTATTTTTTCGATAGTCTACAGAACAAACCATCATTATACAATAACTTGCCTAATTACCCTAACCTGCCTAGTTAACCTAATTAACCTAGTTAAGCCTTTAAATGTCACTTTAAGCTGTATAGAAGTGTCTTGAAAAATATCTAGTCAAATATTATTTACTGACATCATGGCAAAGATAAAATAAATAGTTTATTAGATAAATGAGTTATTAAAACTATTATTAGAAATATGTTTAAAAAATTTTGATCTCTGTTAAACAGAAAACTGGAAAAAAATAAACAGGTGGGCTTAATAATTCAAGAGGGCTAATAATTTTGACTTTAACTCTAAGCGGCTTAGTGATAAGTGTAATTCCTCCACTCCACAGGCCAACAACTTAAAACGTGCTAGATATAACAGTTTTCATTCAGAATTGTAGCATAAAGTACTATGACGTTTTATAACTGGCGAGTGACATGAACTAGTGGATTGTCTGCTGTCATCTTTAAGATGCGCATTCGTGATTTCAGGAGGCGTGGCTTTGAACGGCAGGGGAGGGACTGTGTTTTCAAAGATATTATGCTAATGGATAACATTTTGTCAGATCACCTACTGCACCTTCAATATTTCCCAAGTGATGTTTAACAGAGAGACATTTAAAAAAAATAGTTTTACTAATTCCTAATAATTCATTTAATTTGTTGTCATCGTAATGAGAGTACATAATATTTTACTGGTTATTTTGCAAGATGTTCAGCTTAAAGTGCAATTTAAGGGCTTAACTAGGCTTATTAGGCCAAGTTCGGTTAATTTGCCAAGTCATTAGCCTGCCAATGAATTGTCCTGGAGCCAATCAAAAAAAAAATATATACATATACAGTTAAAGTCAAAATTATTAGCCCCCTTTTGAATTTTTTTCTTTATTAAATAATTAATAATTAATTATTATTTAAAAATAATTTTTTTCTTTATAATAAAAAAAAACATTTCAAGGTCAAAATTATTAGCCCATTTAAGCTATATATGTTTCAATAGTTTACAGACCAAACATCGTTATACAATACCTTGCCTAATTACCCTAACCTGCCTAGTTAACCTAATTAACCTAGTTAAGCCTTTAAATGTCACTTTAAACTGTATAGAAGTGTCGTGAAAAATATCTAGTCAAATATTATTTACTGTCATCATGACAAAGATAAAAAAAATCAGTTATTAGAAATGAGTTATTAAAACTATTATGTTTAGAAATGTGCTGAAAAAATCTTCCCTCCATTAAACAAAAATTAGGGAAAAAAATAAATAAAGGGGGTTAATAATTCTGACTTCTACTATATATATCTGACTTTCACCAGAAAAAATAACATAGGGAATACTGTGAAATATGGGAATTATTTTGGGGCAAAAAGAATAATTATAATAAATAAATAATACAATAAAACAATTTGACACAAGCAGCACTGGAACTGCAGCCGCAATTCAAACCATTGATCCCGGAAAGCTTTTCTCAAAAACCTTAATTTGATTAGGACTGTAAAAACAATGACAATCACAATCTTGGATTGACAACATTGTAAAAATGGAAACGTTTATCGTGGAAGTGGAAACGAATCCAATAAAAGTTCTTCAGAAGCACAACAAGTTCTGTGCAAAGGAAGGCAGCCCCGCATCTCCATGCTAGCTAATAACGTTCCTTCAGCAAAGCGTGTTGAAAAGGAAGCGGGCCCAGCACCTCCCCCTCCCCCCCGTCAGAGCCAGACACCAGATGTTCGCAACACTAGTTGGGAAGTCCTGCTGGCGCCACTCAGGGCAGAGGGCAGAGGGAAGGCACGCGAGCTGGAACCCAGAGAACTCACTCACTACAGGAATTGGCACATTCCCCAGCGCGGTCTTGGCTGACTCCCCAGTTCTCCCTTGGCCATCTGTTCCAAAAAAACACTTTGAAATAAAAAAAACACACCGATCATCACTCTCTTAGGATACGGCTCCAAAGAGCAGCTGTTACAGAGGCGAGGGGGAAACAGGAGGAGGGTTTGGAGGAGGGGCACCGTCCAAGAAAGAAATCCCTTTGTCAAGTAGAGCCAGTGAGTCTGAGGGGAAAAATGTTTTGGCAAAAGCAGGCTGATGAAAAGCAACGAGTGAACATGGAAATGTGCGCCAGTGTTGCAATTCTCCAACATTTTTCAGAAAGTACATAAAAAAAAAATAGACAACTCAGGGTGTTAGAGCTAGATAAAACTAAAACCATAAATATAATTCACTGTTCTTGCATGAAATAAAATGCAAGTTTTAAATTCATTCGTTCATTTTCTTTTCAATTTAGTTTAGTTATTTATCAGGGGTCACCACAGCGGAAGGAACCTCCAACTTATCCAGCATATATTTACGCAGCGGATGCCCTTCCAGCTGCAACCCAACACTGGGAAACACCCATACACTCTCACATTCACACTTATACACTACAGCCAACATAGTTTATTCAATTCACCTAGTGCATGTCTTTGGACTGGGGGAAACTGGAGCACCCTGAGGAAACCCACGCCAACACGGGGAGAACATGCAAACTCCACACAGAAATGCCAACTGACCCAGAAGGGGCTCGAACCAGGGACCTTTATGCTGTGAGGTGATGGTGCAACCCACTGCGCCACCGTGACACCAAGTTTCAAGTTCATTCATTTGCTTTTCAACTTAGCCCCTTTATTACTCTGGGGTTGCCTCAGCGCAATGAACCGCCAACTTATCCAGCATATGTTTTACGCAGCGGATGCTTCAAATGATTAAAATAAAAATAAATGACATCTATAAACAGTTGAAGGAAAAACTTAACCCCGCTGAGAAAAATGTAAATTATTGTCAATTATTTTCCCAAGATACAGAGTATATTAAAAACACAATAGTGTAAATAGCACTTAGTAATTTTGTCATTGACATAATGACAGTACATAATATTTTACAGCTTATTTATTCAGCTTAAAGTGCTAATATATGTGTGAATGCGAGTGTATGGGTGTTTCCCAGTTCTGGGTTACTGCTGGAAGGGCAACTGCTGTGTAAAACATACGCTGGATAAGTTGGTGGTTCATTTCGCTGTGGCGACCCCTGATAAATACTTTGCAGGCACAGGACGTCAACATGACGTCATATTGACAGTGTACCCCTACGTCGTGGGAATGTTGGATTTTGTTTGGAAATTAAAATCAGGTTGACATCAGAACCCAAAGTCAGGCCGATGTCAATGTCCAACGTCCAACCTAAAATCAACCAAATATCAATGTCTAATCATGTTACACCTTGACGTTGTGCGGACGTATGACATCTATCATATGTTGGATTTTGGTCGCTTTCCAACACAACCTAACATCAACCAAATATCAGCGTAATTTGATGTTGTTATTGGATGTCAAAATAACGTTGTCCTTAGACTAGGCATGGGCCGGAATAAGATTCTAACAGTATGATAACCTTGGATAAAATGATCATGGTTTCACGGTATTGTAATAACTGCTCTAAAATATATTCTTTTTAAATGTCTGGGCAAAAAACAAGAACTTTTTTTTCCGATTTGAACACAAAGGCTGCATGCCAAATTGCATACTTCACTATATAGTACGCTAAAAACAGTATGCGAGCCAAGTAGTATGTCCGAATTCATAGAAATTAATAAACAGTATGTGAGAATTGCAAGGTCTCAGAACAGATCAGGGTAAAGGATCCAGCATGTTAGCCGAGGATAGAGAGGTGTCGCTCACGAAAGTGTAGAGTGGGGAGTCGGGGTGTTGGTGGTTGGTGCGGTGGATGGCGGAGTAGTGTCGCTTACAAAAGTGAGCGGGGCGTGGGTGTCACGGTGAAAAGTGAAGAGGGTTGGGGAGTCGCAGAAGAAAATGAACAGCGGACGGGGGAGGGCAGTTGAGGAGGGGTATTGGTAAAATAAGGTGCCGGATCAGAATTAAGCTGATTTAACAAATTGAGCCCTGATGAGAAGTACTCGGATGACCTACTAATTCCGGTGATATTTTGAAGTGCATATGCGATAGACGCTAAGCTATCGCATGATGCACCACAAGAGAATTCATAAATGGGAGTGTAGCGAGTGTATCACGTTATCATGGTAAAATGGCAGATGTTGTACATCTGAGCTCCATTAATACTTCTCACATTCATAATTTATAGAGAATAGTATTTTTCTATCGGTCAAGTAGTAAATTTAAATTCAAATGCAGTACCTACTGAGTAGTGCAGGATTTTGGACACAGCCAATATATTTTATTCTGAGAAACATTTAAAATATTTTGAAACAGTAAACATGTCAGGCTAAAAAATTCAAATAAATCACTGACTTCTGCTGTCTTTACTAGATTCCAAAAGACATTTTTCTTTACAATTTGAAACGGCTTTTCTGTTTTCCTAAACAACAAACCAAAATATCTTACAAATACCTTAGGAACGGTATAACAGAAAATTGTGGTGATTTTAAAACCTTCACTTTTTCAATATATAATATATAATTTTAAAATAGTCATAATCTCATGCCTACTTTTGACACTGGCTAGACATTGAATTTTGGTCATCTGACGTCATGTCCTAAATCTAACCTAATATTAACGTCTTATGATGTTGTGTGCCTGCTGGCTAAGGGACTAAGCCGACGGGGGGTAAATAAAGGTTAATGAGTTTTAGTTAGCAAATCAGGGTAATTTGGCAAGTCATTGGGCAAAGTACATATTTAAGAGGGCAATGATAATTATTATTTTTTTTTGTGTGTGTGTGTGTGTGTTTGTGGGTTTTTTTTTTCAGCCAAACTGAAAAAAAAATGACTTTCTCCTAAAAAAAAAGGAAATATTGTGAAATTCTCTCCTGCTTAAATTCTCTTATACATCACTTGGGAAATATTTGAAAATGAATCTAGATATATTATCTAAATGGTTATAATTTTAATTAAAATACACTTACCGGACACTTTATTAGGTACACCTGTCCAACAACTAGTTAACGCAAATTTCTAATCAGCCAATCACATGGCAGCAACTCATTTAGGCATGTAGACATAGACGATCTGCTGCAGTTCAAACCGAGTATCAGAATGGGGAAGAAGGCTGATTTAAGTGACTTTGAACGTGGCATGGTTGTTAGTGCCAGACAGGCTGGTCTGAGTATTTCAGAAACTGCTAATCTACTGGGATTTTCATACACAACCATCTCTAGGGTTTACAGAGAATGGTCTGAAAAAGAAAAAATATCTAGTGGGCACCAGATATCAATCCAATTGAGCACCTTTGATATGTGCAGCTGACAAATCTGCAGCAACTGCGTGATGCTAACATGTCAATATGGAATATTTCCAGTACCTTGTTAAATCTATGGCATGAATGATTAATGTAGATCTGAAGAGGATCCAACTAGGTGTCCTGACATTTCATCCAACCCATCAGATTATGCTACCAACACTCTACTTAAATAGAGGTTGAGGTTAAGGATTAGGTAGGTTATGACGATATAACAGCTTCATATCACACTATTACACATTAAAATTTACACTGGTAGCAAAAACTGATGTGCTACCCACTTTTTGAATAGGAAATAGGACAAATCCACAGAACACCGGTACTAGTAAGGTGTACCTAATAAAGTGGCCGGTGAGAGTATATTTAAGTATGTAAAGTTATTCTTGACGACTAACATGTTTTTGTGTTTTTCTTGTTCACAATAGGAATAAAATGAAGAAAGTCTTCTGTGAATCTGGAGCAAGAAGGACCTCGAACCATGAAGACATTTTCCCAATGAGGGTAAACCCCTATAATGAAAGTGTAAAATAGGTTTTACACTGCACTATATTGACTAAAGCTAAGGTTACTACAGCAAACTAGGTTCTGCTGTTGAACAACATTTTGCACAGCAGAAACATTTTTCAAATACAGATGACGTGATATCGGTTTCATTTTTCAATGTTGCATGGTTGGTTGCAGCAGTCACATACTGTCTATTTATTTGAGATTTGCAGTGTTCCTACACAGTAAAACACCTGCTTAAAATGTCCTGCCTTATCATGTGTGCATTTTTCTTTTTTTTCTTGTAATTCATCTAATTAAGCTATTCTTTATTGTAGCAGTTACATTATAAACACTGATATAAATGAAAACGGCATATGATGAACTGAAAACTGTCTCCCATTTGGCTTGTATTAACATTTGTTCTCGTGCTTGTAAACAGGAGTCTGTGCTTTGAAAAATGTGCGCTCTGGCTTTGCCAACCATTTGTTTATGTTAGTCTGTATTTCATAAATGTATTTACTGTCGAAATACTTCAATGTAGTGCAAGAATTCATCTTCATTACTGAGGAACTGCTTATATCAGCAATAACAAAATGTTGGTGACCTTCCAAAAACACTAAACTTCAAGAGGAAACAGACCTGGACATAATGACCTGACCTGGGATCCCTATCAGCAGGTCACACTCAGCTACAACATCAACATGAAGGATTTAGTTATGCCAAAGTCAGTATTGTGTGTTGCTCAAATAGGGTTCAAATAAAAGTTGCCAAACATGTATCGCAAACATGAGAGTCACTGCAATAATGATAGACTGTTCATGTATTTGCTTGTTTAAATGCAACTGGCAACTCTTCTTTAGGTCAACCAGTGTAAATAATGTATTTAAATGTATGCATTTGTTATGAATTAAAGCTTTACACTTTCTGTTCCACCAATGAGCCAATGATAAATGAACAGCTCTGGTTGTTGATTTTAGGTTGATTGATTCATTTTCCTTCGGTTTAGTCTCACAGCGGAATGAACCGCCAACTTATCCAACAGGCGGATGTCTTTCCAGCCGCAAGCCAGTATTGGGACCCTCCTGTACACTATCATTGACACACACTCATGCACTAAGGCCAATTTTGTTTACTCAATGCACCTATAGCGCATGTCTTTGGACTGTGGAGGAAACCCACGCAAACACAGGGAGAACATGCAAACTCCACACAGAATTCCAACTGGCCCAACCAGCGATCTTCTATCAGTGAGACGACCACTGCTAACCACTGATGTTGATTGATTTTTGAAGTAATTGTAGATATGATTGGAAATGGTTTGAATAAATGAACAGACATAAGCCTATTTCACACATACAGACCTTTCTGAAAAGGTCTGTATGTGTGAACAGGCCCTTTTTGAAAATATCAGTAAATTCGTTCCGGCTATTTTCCGGAAAGAGAAGTTGTAACATTACAAAATTTGCCGGAATGCTGCGCTGTGTGAACGCAGAAGGAAGATTGCCGGAAAGAGCCCATTCACATCTAGAACGTGCTGACATGAGACGTCTACTTTAGCCAATCGGTACAGTCAGACGCATTCACATCCGCCCGGTTCATGAAAATAAAAGCCTTTAAATATTTTCTGCTAGATGTTAGTCAGACAACGTTTCTATGTTCCTTCTTAATCCCAACTGTGTAAATAATTATCATTAAGATGCTTATGATAAGCTGTTGTTTGTTTACCTTCAAGCTCTGCTTCCTTCAGTTGCTTGACGTGTCGCGTGTGCTCGTGAAGGACTGAGCGCCAGCACACACACACATATTATGTACATCTCGACATACGAAAGTGTTTCTCTATATGTTTTCATCGAAGTTGTTCACAATACTGATCCATCCACAGAGTTTGTAATATATTCAAATATTTACAAACACAAGCCCAGTCTTTTAGAGGTCATTTCTGGTTAATGATGTCAGAATTTACTGGTATTTTGGAGTGGATGTGTGAATGGTCTTTTTCTGAAAAATTCTGCAACGTCCTTGCCTATGTGAACAGCGCTTTTTTGAATATACCGGTAAAGTCGTTCTGGAAATTTTCCGGATATTTACCGGTATCACTGTGTGAAAGGGGCTATAGACAAAACAGTGGTGTAGATGCTGATGTTCAGTGGTGCATTTCTAGATCATGTCTCCTGAAATAGTTGTGAGATATTCATCTGCTTTCATTCTCCACTGAGTGATTCCTAAAGGGCTAAACCTTTAAAGGGATACTTCACCCCAAAATTAAAATTCAGTCATCGTTTTCTCACCCTTCACTTGTTCGAAACGTGTCTAAGTTTCTTTTTTTTTCTGTTTACACAAATATATTATCTTTAAAAAAATGGTTGGTTGCTGGAACAATTGACATCCATAGTAGTTTTTTTCCTATACTATGGAAGTCTGTGGGTGGCAGCAACCAGCATTCTTCAAAATATCGGGGTCATGGCCTCGCACTTGAAGGTGCTGATTACATAAGGAAAACAGGCCAATATGCAAATAGCAGAGATGAAATCATGTAGTCCACAAACCAGCTAGAAATTCTGTCTATAAACATAATGAACACAACTAAAAACAAAGGGCAACCCTGCTGGAGTCCAACATGCACCGGGAACAAGAATTACCAACAGAGTATTTAAGTTCTATCAATTAGCTTGAGCAGTTTGAGCCATGCTAATGCCAACATACTTTACTAACTAAGGCCCCGTTTACAATAATGCGTTTTCATTTTAAAAACCGTAAGTTTTGCTACGGTTACGCCATCCATCCACACTACGCCAGAGTTTTCGAGCGCCGAAAATAGATCATTTCAATTCGAAAACGCTGGAGAGGCCGTTTTCATTCTAAAACGTTGCTGCTCCTTCTCAGGCCCCGTTTACACTAATGCGTTTTAGTTTGAAAACGCATAAGTTTTGCTACGGTTACACCATCCGTCCACACTACGCCGGAGTTCTCGAGCGCCGAAAACGAAGCGTTTCGAAAACGCTGGAGAGGCCGTTTTCATTCTAAAACCCTGCTGCTCCGTCTCAGTGTGGATGGGGAAAGACGGAGACATCTGAAAACGGAGGCGGGGCTGCAGACATTCGCCTCTCTGATTAGGGCTTTTCCTCAATATTAAGTAGCCTAACACACACAGTTCAGTCCTGCATCTTCTCCGTGTAAGTTCAGACTTCGCAAGTTTGATCAAGGCTGCATCTCTTCTTCTCAGTTTGATATGGAAAACATACCGAGGACACGCGTCAATCTTCACAGGGAACAGTGTACTTTATAACTTCATTCACATCACCCTGGCTACGTTGTTTCACTTTCTCAACAATAAAATGTAAACTTGATATAAGGAACTGCCTATTTTTATTTTAATATTAACAACTAAACAGACAGCAGAAATGTTGAGGCGCCGTGCTGCATATATGAGCGTCATCTTCACTGTGTGGATATTTATAACAAAACGGAGCCGATAACAACTGTCTCCTTTCAATTTCAGTGAAAATACGAAACATACCCTCTCTTTTGCTGAATATCAGTTTTAATAATCGATAATGGCCATTATAAAAGTATAACATACAATAAGTTTATACATTATAGGAAATAAAGGCAAGCGATCAGTCAATATACAGAATGTAGGCTACGTGCTTACATTAATCATTAACTTATCTTTGCGCTCAGCCAAAACACGTTACCTGAGAACAAGTAATAGATTCCAATGACCAAAGTCAGGGAATATGTCGTTAGATAAAGACAACAAGATGAATGAAATATCACGTTTAATAAATATAGTGAGATTAGATCCAGCGGGAGATGCTTGATGAGAAGTCCGACTAGCAGAGCTTTCATCTGGGTGGGTAGACAGGCTCCAGCGATTGCCAAAGTGTGTGTGTGTGGTCACGTGATGTGCGTTTTCAGCGTTTTGGTGTGGACGGAGAGCAGTTTAGAAACGCTGGGTAAAACGCGAGTGTGGACGCGGATCGTTTTCATTCTAAAACGCCGTTTTAAAACTAAAACGCACTAGTGTAAACGGGGCCTCAGTGTGGATGGGGAAAAACGGAGACATCTGAAAACGGAGGCGAGGCTGCAGACATCTGATTGGGGCTTTTCCTCAATATTAAGTAGCTTGCACACACAGTTCAGTCTCGCATCCTCTCCCTGTCAGTTCAGACTTTGCAAGTTTGATATGGAAAACAGACCCTCAAGGACAAATCCGGTAAATCTTCAAAGGGAACAGTGTACTTTATAACGTTATTCACATCATCCTGGCTACGCTGTCTCACTTTCTCAACAATAAAATGAAAACATGATTTAAGGAACTGCCTATTTTCATTTTGATATTAACAACTTAACAGAGAGCAGAAATGCTGAGACGTCATGCGGGATCTTCACTGTAAGCATATTTATAATAAAACAGAGCCTATATAACATCACTGAATCCTTTCGTTTTAATTGAAAATACGAAACGTATCCTCTGCTTTGCTGAATGTCAGTTTTAATAATCAATAATAGCCATTATGAAAGTATAACGCACAATAAGTTTATACACGTTTACAATGTACGTGGTTACATTAATTATTAACTTATCTTTGCACTCAGCCAAAATACGTTACCTGTGAACAAGTAATCCATTCAAAAGACCAAAGTTGGGGAATATGCCGTTACATATAGACAACAAGATTAATTAAATATCACGTTTAGCAAATATAGTGAGATTAGATCCAGCGGGAGATGCTTGATGAGCAGACCGACCAGCTCTCATCTGTGTAGAAATGCTGCAGCGCTTGCCCGAGAGTGTGTGTGTCACGTGATGTGCGTTTTCAGCGTTTTGGTGTGGACGGAGAGCAGTTCAGAAACGCTGGGTAAAAAGCTAGTGTGGACGCGGATCTTTTTCATTCTAAAACTGCGTTAGTTAGTTAGTTAGTTAGTTAGTTAGTTAGTTAGTTAGTTAGTTAGTTAGTTAGTTAGTTAGTTAGTTAGTTAGTTAGTTAGTTAAAACTAAAACGCACTAGTGTAAACAGGGCCTAATTATGGACAATGTTATGGTTCATACTTTTTTAAATGCAGGACTGCGGTCTATTAATACTACAGCCAAAAAGCAACCATGACAAAGTGCAGTTTATTTCTAAACTAATTTCAAGAGGATCACATGATTATGATTGATCACAGCTGGTCTCGCATCAGCTTCACATATTGAGCCAATCAGATGAATACTAACTCGCTATAAATAACCAGAGTTTTTCACTTCAGTCTTCTTCGTCTTGAAGAATCCCTCCTTCCACTCCTACTCCTCCACCTTCTCCTGATAGGCTAGCAAGGCGCCCAGTGGTTAGCATTGTTGCCTCACAGTGGAGTTTGCATGTTCTCCCGGTGCTCATGTGGGTTTTCCCCGGGTTCCTCTCACCATCCAAAGACACACAATAAATTTACTAATTCAAAGTGACATCATAAGAGAAACTCTTAGCCAGCTATATCTCTTAGCTATTCCTAACATATTTACAAGCAAGACCTACCACAGGAGAGCTCAAACTCCCCTCTCGCCCTTCAAATGCCAAACATGTTTTAATTTCAATCATCAGTTTAGTGTGAACTCCTGAAAGCAGGTCATTTGTAATTTATGAGTGTCATTTCAGTATGAAATAGTCCCGACTCCCTCTATTTATCAGGGGTTGCCACAGCGGAATGAACCGCCAACTTATCCAGCATATGTTTTACGCAGCGGATGCTTTTCCGGCTGCAACCCATCTTTGGGAAACACCCATACATTATCATTCACACTCATACACTACAGACAATTTAGCTTACCCAATTCACCTGTACCGCATATCTTTGGACTTGTGGGGGAAAGCGGATTACCTGGAGGAAACCCATGTAAACGCGGGGAGAACATGCAAACTCCACACACTAATGCCACTGATCCAGCCGAGGCTCGAACCAGCAAGATCGCTACCCACTGCGCCACCCAAATTGATTGATGAGTTTGTAAAATATGGAGTGCATGTGAGAGACTTCACAAAATAATTAAATGTTCTAATTTAATTCAGTGTCTGGCTGATTGAAAAGATTAGTTCACCCCAAAAAATGGAAAGTTTGTTATTAATTACTCACCTTGACGTCACTTCAATCACCTAAGACCTTCATCTGTTCATCTTCAGAACACAAATTAAGATATTTTAGACTAAATCTGAGAGGTCACTCATCCCCCATAGACAGCAAGAGTCCTGAGATGTTGAATATCCACAGTTGTAATCATATGAAGCTCCAAGAACACTTTAGTGAAGCAAAAATAAATCTCAAGGATTGGAAAAAAGGTAATTAACAGAATTTTTGACTGAACTAACCCTTTACTGCTTGCTTACTTTCGTTGCATGGTTTAAGGTTGTTCCTCAGGTGCTTTGTCTCCACCTGGCCACTGCCACTAAAATGAATGTAAAACCACAAAAACAGTGGAAAAAAAAAGTAAAAAAAGTAAAAAATTCTTGAAAATTACTCTTACACCAATGGCATTAATAGGAATTATAGGCTAACTCAGCTGAAATCGCATGTAGTGAAGATTAAGCCTGTCCTCCTTTACTTTATCAGCCATTCACTGTGCCCTACATAATGTACTTGATGGTCAACGAAAACAGTGTTGCTAACTATTTCCAATGAAAAGTAGCTAAAGCCTGCCCGAAATGTAGTTAAATGTTGTCAGATGACATCACGCACTAATTTGCATATCAGTGACATCATTATGTAGTATCTGACAAGCGTAAGCCTTCCACAGTCAGAAAACTTGTTTGGATTTCTCTAATAGATAAAATTAATTTTAAAAAGCTGGGCTCTTATCATACGAATGTTGTGTTCCCAACAAAGAAAAATAATTACATTTAAAAGCGTTGCACAATATCTACCCCAAAAATGCGATTGTATCTAAATTCGGTAATCAAATTGTCTCTTCTGTAACTCAAACATCGAATCGATTAATCAGATTTTGCCCACATGTTAAAGTGTTTTGGTCTGATTTATTTTTCAAAATGTAAGTTTAACATTGATTTTTCCATGTGTGATTTAATTTGTTTCTTTTCTCATGACAGACATAACCGAATTTAAAGGCAAGGCAAGGCAAACTTTATTTATAGAGCACAATTTAACACAACCGTAGTTGATCCAAAGTGCTTTACAATAAAATAAACTAGACAATAAAACTAAAAATAACTGGTATTAAAAATACAATAAAATATATTTAAAAGTAATACTAAAATATAAATAATACAAAAATAACATGCATGCATCAGTCAAAGGCAAGAGAGTAAAAATGTGTCTTTAAGTTAGATTTAAAAGCATCCAAAGAAGGAGAGATTCTGATATTCAGAGGGAGACTATTCCAGAGCCTTGGGACCGCTACACTGAAAGCTCGATCACCCTTTGACTTGCAGCGAGACCGAGGGACAGACAAAAAAAAATGATCATGTGATCTTAAGAATCTGCGAGCTGTATATGGCCTAATAAGCTCGCTGACATAGGCCGGGGCAGAATTGTGCAAAGCTTTATAAGTGAAAAGAAGAATTTTAAAATCAATCCTGTATTTTATAGGTAGCCAGTGCAATGAGGCAAGGACAGGGGAGATATGCTCTCTTTTCTTAGTTCCTGTTTTTAATCTGGCGGCTGCATTTTGGACCAACTGTAGCCGAGAGAGTGTTGACTGATGTAGGCCAATATACAAAGAATTGCAGTAGTCTAGACGAGAGGAGATGGCAATTTATTTATTTTATTGGGTAAATATTATAATCACAAATGTAAATTTTCTTCACCATTACCTTAGTTGCAAAATTTTCTTTGTGACTTAAATTGTTTAATTACTACTTTACAAAATACAAAAAAAAAAACTGATATTTTATAAGGACTTTGTAAATATAATTTTATTTGATAATTTGCCTCTGTACTCTGTTTTTTATTATGATATTTTATTATTATTTATTATTATTATTCATTTTACTCGTTTATTATTGTACTTGATGTCATCCTTTGTTATAGTTAATGTTTGTATAGTTAAAACACAATAAAAAAAGTAATAAAAATTCCGATATTGAAAATACAGAAAGCCTTCCATAGTCATGTCTGTACTCTCTGAGGCGTCGTGTATTATATTATATTAAAACATTACATCCAGATGCACAATAAATAGGTCCTAATTAACATATTTCTTTGCGTGATGATGCCATTGCTTAATCTCAACTCAAAACTACATCTTCATGTAGTATACAAAATAATTAATGTTATCTCAAATTGACTGGCCATCTCAGCAAAAACATTATTTGAAATATGTCCATTTAGATTTTTATGTATATATAACTAAAATGCAAACACTTTTTGATAAGAATTGTTTTTTATTTTTAAATATAACACTGATAATGAACAGTCACGTTCTTTTAAACAGTCACAACTTGTGCACTTACTCCTTTTAACTTGTGAAATTAACACATTTGTAAAAGTGACAACAATTATAGCACTATTGGAATTTATTGTTTCCTAAATTACCAACAATTAAAAATCTGAGCTGAAGCCTGCAACCACAGCTATTTTGAGTCACTTGTTAAAAATAGCTTAAAATGGCCAATTGGATGTTAAAAATAGCTAAATTTGTTGCTATTTGCTTTTTGAAAAAAGTTGCTAAGGTAGTATGAAAAGTTGCAAAATCTAGCAACAAAAATTGCTAAATTGGCAACACTGGTTGCAAACTGACAGTACCTGTAGTTAGTCGAATGCAGACGCCATCTTCTGGTGAACTGCGGGAAATCATGTGCCACCCTCAGAAAGCATTATTGACATTCTCTCGCCACTGAGTGTTTTATGACGGCACTCCATGATGTCCATTATAGATTCGTGCACCACTACAAATGGCTGTCCACTCAATTAGTCACCAATTTAAGGATACAAAGTGGGGCTTTGGTCAGACCCGGTCTTCAATTCTGAGTTTCCTAAACGTGCTAGTAATTGTTGAAAGGTTTTCATGTTTGGCTGATCAGTGTAAATATCAATGTTCGGAGGAGGTTGTTGAGAAAAATAATATCGTTAGCCCCTTTGTTGTCTTAGAACCCTGTATTCAATTCTCAAATATATTTTTCATCACAAACGTCTAAAATTTTCCTCATCAGAGTATTTAATGTTTATTCAGAGGAAACCACAAAATTTTGACTAAAGGGCATTTACTATTGCTAAAAGTATCTGCATAAGAGTGCAATAACTCAAGAAAGACAATAGCCAACTCCTAAAAGTGAAAGCAGCAGGTTCGGATTGTAGCGAGTGTGTGCCAGTGGTTGTGGTGTAAAAATGGTTTTATAGCTGACAGTTCAACTGCTGTTATCTTACCATCTAAAGCCTTCATGAAATTATTACAACAGAAATTCATTTTTTTCCTAATGTTGGGGACATTTTAGGAAAAAGTCACCAAACATCAAGATTCAAAAACCCTTGGGAGGGTTAATTAAAGCACAGAAACAGTTTGATACATCATCAGCAGACAAAACCTAAACATGATCAAAGTGGTGAAGGTTGTGAATATTCTGATGGATGTCCTCTCCAGGATGGAGTAACACATATCCTTTCTTATGTCTTTGTAATTATTAATAAAGTTGAATGTTTAAAAGCCTAGACTATATGATGACCTTAGTGTCATTCCACTTTAGAGTAAAACTGCAATAATATGTGTGTGATTGCTTTTCTGTATGCCAAATGATTTGTTTTCTTGGGATCTACCCAGTCAGGTTAGAGATCATGGAGACCTCTTGAGTGGACCTGGACAACTGTTTCCTGAGTTATTTGCCATTTTTATGGGTTAAACCTTTCAAAGTTAATTCCTTTGTATTTAAGCTGCCAGTTTGAATGTAGATTGTACCCGTTTTTAATCAGTTTGGCTAAGAGTACACTCAAGTCTTGAGTAAGAAACAGATTGTACTGTGTGTTTGTGGAACATTTCACATGTCAGGGCTGACATTTATATTCTTGAGATATCGTTAAGAATGGTACACACACACACAAATGGAAATTATTCTTAGTCTATCTGTGTTTCAACCAGTCAAGTAAAAACACCTATATGTATGACGCAGTTGATAACATTATGCGAGTATAATCGTTGATGTTTTAAGATTGTAACCAGAGCAGCACACAAACGTTTTTCAAGTATTGAAGCTGGCTTCTGCTGACGAAACAGCAAATTATCTTCAGTAAACTTTCCTTTTAAATGAATCTGTGGCTCTTCATCATCAGACAGACTGCTCATTTTTGGGTTAAAGCTGTTGGTTCCCCTACAGTAGAATGCTTGATGACCCACACCATTCATCTTTCCAATAATACCTGCAGTAGCCCACAATTAAAGTGAATACACACACACAGTTTTTCATTAGTTTTTATTGCATTTATTTGCACACAACTGAATAAAAGGACACTAATACTTTAAATCCATTAAGAGCAAGATTATTGCGAGAAGTAACACTGTGCCTTGTCTTAAATATCAGTAAAATGCTAATGTGTGGCTTTTTATAAAACTGCTTTGTGAAAACTATCATTTGTAAGATTTTCACAACTCCTCAAGAAGCATTGTCAGTTTAGTTCTGACAGTTTAAGCCCATCACAGACATTTCTTTAGGAACATCTTGAATAAATCCGAGTGTTATCAGTCTGGATGCACAACACAAATTATACATCAAAGTTCTCAGCTATTTCATACATGCCAAATGTAGCGTGGGGAAGCTTGTTGCACCTCACATGAAGCACACAACTAATAATTATTTAGCTCTTCATTGTGTTTAACTATGACTGCTCCATCTGTTGAGACAATACACATATTGCAGTGATTTATTGCATTATTGTCATTGACAAATTGCTAAATTTGGCATGTTGAGATATTAAAAAGCAGTAGGTTTTGATTAAAATTTATGATTTGGCAAAGAACATTTTAAAACTAAAGACTTAAATTAGATAGTTCACCCAATAATGAATATTCGGTCATCCTTTACTCACCCTCGGTCTGTTCTACTTTGTTTCATTATTTACTATGGATGTAAATGGCTACCCATAACCAACATACTTTAATATTTAGTACTTCATTTATGTTCAGTAGATATAAGAAACTCATAAAGGTTTGGAACCACTTGAGGCAGAGTTAATACTGAGTACGTATTCATTTTAGGTGAACTACCCCTTTAAAACTCACACTTGATTTAATTTGATTAAGACCACAGCATTATCACAGTTTCAGGGTTAGTAAAATACTCAGTAGTGCTGCATTAGCAGTGTTTCACTATAAAACTTCATTCCTTTCAGGCTCCTGTGAAAATCTGGCTCACAATGGTGTTTGGTAATGCAGGGGCCATTTGGTTTCAACAGAAGCTGCAGTGTATCCCACCTGTGAGGTCCGTAATACTGCCTGAGGCTACCAAACGTTTGAGAAAAACAGTCTCTTTCTGTACATTGTGCATGGCTTCCTTTAAAATGGTTGTCATGGGAACGCTGTCATAGTAATGAAGAGGAGCCTCTTTCTGGCTGAGGTTATAGCCAAAGCCTGCTAGGCTCACCTCGTCACATATGTATGTTGCCAGATTGAGAGCTGTAAGCCCTAATGTAGGGATGTTCTGGAAAGAAAAAACAAAGGTGAGAAATGAATTAAAATGTCTCTCTTAAGCCCCGGTCATGAATTTCGACACAATTTCCTTGATGTAGGGTGTCGTGGGGATTCGTAAACGACAAATGGGTGTCGTGACAAGATTCAATTGACCTTTTGCTAAGCCACACCCAAAAACCGACACCCACCAATCATGGCTAAAGCCTGGTTTATACTTCTGCATCAAGTGACCGGCGTAACCCAGGGCGCAGGCAATGCGCGTAGCTGTGCATTTATACTTCTGCGCGCTGTCTCTGTTGGTCTGCATCAACACTTCCGAAACGCTTGTTGGCAGTGAGGTGTTAATGCTCCTCTGTGTTGAGTTTCTTCGCTGGTGTTTTGCTTTTCCTGAACACTTCCTGAATGTACAAGTGGCTCAAAGTCGCTCATTTTGAGGCAGGAACCGGCGGACGTGCAACAACTTTAACTATGAGGTAAACACAAAACAAAACTTTCCGTCCAAAGCTACTTCACACTTGTAAACAATCGCTCCATCGGGCTCGCACCATTCGCGGGGCTCTCGGTCCCTCCCAGACTCATCAGCGATTCCAAGCCAACCAATCACAGAGCTTGCGCTACGCGTTGTTGCGACGTGTAGTTACATTTTTTTGAGAGGTGCACGTCAGCGACGCCGACGGCCATGGTGTAGGGCTATGCGTCAACACCATAGCATACGCATGCGTTTGACGCAGAAGTATATATCAGCCTTTAGCAACCGTAGCTACGCGCAGGGGCTCTGTCAAGCTTTTAAGCGAGGGAAGCAGGCCTAAGCGTTGTGCATATGGATTGTGCAAATCTGACACCTGGTATCCTTAAAGCTTGGACAGGGCGGTGGAATTCCTAAAACCCAAGTGAAATGCCAGCGTTGATCAAGCTCTGTGAGGGGCGCTAAAGGAGCGGAGATAAGTTGGTTTTGTTTTCGATATTCCAGTCATAGACGGCAATAACTCACACACCTCTTACCCTAAACAAATCTAAACTGTTTCCTACAAAAATACAAAGCAGGATGTTTCCCAGCTGTCTTTTTCTTTTTTCACTAGATATAAGCACTGCTCCGTTTAAGCCGTCGCCATAGTAGTCATGCTAATATCAATCATATTTCCATCTGTTCCAAACTACGAATATTTGAAATTACGTATCAACAGAACAAAACTGAGATGTGATCCCAAACTGAGCACTTGCGATCAATATACTTTCACAAATGTGTTGTCACTTTTTGTATACTTTTACATGTGTTGTCACTTTCACAAATGTGTAAATCTCACAAGTAAAAAAAGAGTAAGTACACAAGCTGTGATTGTTTAAAATAATGTAACTGTTCATTATCAGTGTTATTTTTCAAAATAAGTGTTTGTTTTACTTTTGCAAATAGTCAACTATATTTTTCATACAAATCTTAATGGACACATTTCAAATAATGTTTTTGGTGAGATGGCCAGTCAATTTGAGAAAACAATTATTTGTAAACTACATGAAGATGTAATTTTGAGATGTGATTATGCAATGACATCCTCATGCAAAGTAATATGTTAGTAAGAACCTATTTATTGTACATCTGGATGTAATGTTTTAATATAATGTATTATAATACACGGCGCCTCAGAGTGTAGAGACATGATGGGCTTAAGGCTGATTTATACTTCAGCGTCAAGCGTCGACGCATAGCCCTACGCCATGGCCGTAGCTGATGTGCACCTCTCAAAAAATTTATTTTTTTAACGACATGTAGCGCAAGCTCTGTGATTGGTTGGCTTGGTAGCACTGACGAGTGAGGGCGGGACCGAGAGCCGCGTGAGCCCGCTGGAGCGATTGTTTACAAGTGTGGAGTCCCTTGAAGGAGCTCCGGATGGAAAGTTTAGCGTTTACCTCATAGTTAAAGTTGTTGCATGCTCGCCAGTTCCTGCCTCAAAATGAGCATTCAGAAAGAACCTAGAAACAAAACACCAGCGAAGAAACTCGACACAGAGACACATTAACACCTCACTGCCAACTAGCGTTTTGGAAGTGTTAATGCAGGCCAACAGAGACAGCGCGCAGAAGTATAAATGCACAGCTCCGCGCGTTGCATGCACCGTTGGTTACGCCGGTCACTTGACGCAGCAGTATAAACCAGGCTTTACACTTGTCAGATACTAAGTGATGATGTCATTGATATACAAATTAGTGTGTGACATCATCTGGCAACATTTAGCTTCTTTTCATTGGAAATAGTTAGCAACACTGACGTTTATGCCCCTCCACTACTCAATTAATTTGACTATTATTTTTAACTATTAAAAAATAAGGATTTAACAAATGGTTCACTGTGATTGTATCACAAATCTCAGGTATGTATTTGCTAATTTTTTATGTCACTATTTTATCAACATTATTGTATGTCTTAAGCATCTGATTTTCCCTTGCTGCTGCTTATATGCTCTCATTTTCTCAGCTCATTTGCGGGAAGTTCAGACGTAGTGTTTAATAAGAAACCCATGGCAGAAAAATATTCTTTAGATTTCAAAGAAAGTATCTTAATATTAAAAAGGAATCATAAGCTTGATCCTATCCATGGTAACTAATGCCCTTACATATTGTAGTTATTATCAATGTAGATGTCACGGGATGACTAATCGTGAAGGAATGTGTAGTCCGGCACATGTGTTACTCATGACAAGTCAAGATTTTATCAAGGAGAAAAAAATAAATAAAAAAATAAATAAACTGACAGAGTGACTTTCGTAACAGACAATAAAAATCGTGAGATCTGACCGGGGCTTTAGCCAATAAAACAGAGCAAAAACAAACTGACCTGGTCCCAGCTCCAGAGCCGCTTTTTAGGCTCGGGATAATTAAGCAGATCCAACGCCATCTCACGAATAATCTGGGGATTCAGGAGATGAAACTGGGAGGTCTTGACTGGAACGCTCATTGGCACATTCTGCCAGAAAAACAGCCTGTCCCACAGCGACTGAAAGATGATGTTACATTTGATATTGATGCACACAGCACTGAATAAGTCTTAGAATCATCTCTTTTGGTATAAATCAATCAATTTTAATGAGCACTCACAACTGGTGTCCTGCTGATCATCGCACGAAGCCAGTGGAAGTCTACAGACTTGAATATCACAGCCACATATTTGAGATCTGGATCCGTATCTTCCCAGACCTTCGGGCAGCTTTCAGGGTAGCTCATTCTGATAGTGGTGCGGTTCCCAACATCTGCACTGAAGTCTTGAAGAGGACCACTGTTCAGTCTGCACAGAAATAGCCAAGAAGTTTCCTCTGCGCTCTCAAACATATGCAATAAAACATTTGAGAAACTCCGACCCTAATAGAGACTAAAGCATGTACCCAGTCATAGGCACTTCAATGAGCATTCTCATTATATATTAAAAGTTAATGCCTTTGTGAGATTTGTAGATATCTTGTAATGCCCTTAAACATGCATTTGCCAACACAAACCTATTTGCTTAGTTCAGTATTTTGTTTTTTTCCGCTTCTTTTTCAAGTGAAAGAATGGTTCAGTGTTGACATCTTGTGGACAAAATAAGTAATGCAAAAACATGTTAAAGGTTTAGTTCATACAAAAATGAAAATCTCTGGTCGGTTTACTCACTCACAGGTCATGTACGATGTAGGTGATTTTTCTTCAGTGAAACATTATAGAAGATTTTTTAACTCAATCCATGATGTATGGTGATTCATATAATGACAGTGAATGGTAATAGGTAGGGCTGTGCAATTGATTAAAATCATATCGAAATTGGGATTTGGACATGTATGATTTCTAAAAATCACTTTACAACCCGTATTTCCCCCTAGGACGGTATTTGAACCAATCATAAAGCAGCGCGCCTAAACAGTGCGAGAACATGAGACTGAAAAACATTTTACTTGGTGCCAAAAAAGCCAACATCTGTGGTGTGGGATGAAGTTATTTTGGATCTAGGAAGGCTGGTGTATCACATAACCAGGTAATTTGTAAATCAGTCATAAATTGCGTCTAGAAGCACACGTCGCTTCCTTCATCATCAGACCATGGTTGTGATAACACACACTAAGGTAAATGTGAATACGTAAATGCGTTCCAAAGATAACATATCAAGTAAATTTTCGCAAGCTCTACGTTAAATTTGTTTGCAAATTAATCAAAATGGTTCATCTAATCCACTTTAATTCCATAACTTTTGGTCAGCACGGTCTGTGGGTCATGTGATTCAATTTTGGTGAAAATCCAAAAAAACAGCCTAGGACAAAATTCATAATGGAAAATGACATTATAGGATGCATTTGAATTGGCTTGAACCGAGCAATCAGAGGGAAAAATTATTTTGATTGTAGCTCATTGGGTTCAAAATTTATAACGATAAACATAAGAGAAACTTTGGACAAGTGGTGGCACTGGAGAGTTTGAGTTAGAGACTCTAAATTTGTTGTGGTTGCAGATCAGACTGTCCTCTATCAGTGGTCTAGAGTTTGCGCAAATGCTGCAAATTGTGCATAGGGCTGCCATAGACTCCCAGAGCGGAAGATAAAGAAAAGTAAGAAGAAGCCGGGAGAATAATAAGTTCTGGAACAGATAAAATAGGTGCACATCACCTTTGATGCCGGTCCCCAATTACCTCCAGAATTGTCAAGAGCCTCTGTGCTCCGCGTCTCACGCCTTCAAACACCAACATGCGTTCATTGTGTGTTGGCATTGTCTTTTGAGGTGCAAGTCATTTATTAAAAGAAGAGAAGATTGACGGAGCTTCTCCTACCACAGCAAATTCTGTTTTTACCTTGATATTTGATGCCAGTTGATCAGGAAATGACTATGTTCTCTTTGGCTCATTGGATGGAAACGCTGCTTCATCTACACATTTTTTATGCAATTTTCCAGTTTTGTGCATACATTAAATTCACATTTTTGGATGGAAACATAGCTATTGTTGTACTATACTGCAGTTTGCCATTGTTCGTTTTGTTGTCAACTAATTAGCAAAAGTAAAAAGTAATGTAATACAAGAGCATGACTTCTCACAAAGCCCTGTGTTCTGATAATAATTAAATATATTTTAAACATATTTCAAAAGCTTGCACTTTAAACTCTGTTTGCATTCATATTCAGAATTCACTTAGTTATTGTTAACGGTAGAAATTATTTACCTCTTTGCCATTTCAGAGCAATATATAAATCACAGATTAGGAGGAGCACATTCTTACCTGATGATAATATCGAAACGATTAAGTAGATGTCCGAGTCCTAATCCTTTCAGTATCCCTCCATTCCCAACCACTACACAGCGTCGACAATCTCGCTCCCCAAGCCTCTGTTCAGAAGAAACTGGTAAGAGGTTTAGGATTTCCTCAAGCTTGTTCTTCATGTCCAGGAACCCAAAGGGTGGAGGATACTGGAATATTTGTTCATCTAACTTCATGTTCTTGTTCAAAAAAGGATCTATTGTTGGTGTGGAGCCATGATGTTCAGTCACCATTCTCTGCCGGGCAAAGGAAGGTCTGCATTCTTTGTCTAGTATCTCTCGGACATGAGAATGGACACGCTGCAAGTGAAACATGCAGTGATTAAAAATAAATTAATAAAATTTCAACAGGCACTACTTTTTTTTTAGATTCTACCTGAAAGACTGTTACAACTTTTAAAATGGTTTATTGTATTATGTTCCGTTTCCACTGAGTGGTATGGTACGGTTTGGTTTGGTACGCTTTTTATGGTCGTTTCCACTATCAAAAGGTGTACCAAACCTAAACGTACTGTACCACTTTTTCGGCACCCTTTCGAAAGGGTACCAAACATGAGAAAGGGTACCAAAAGGCAGAGCTAGAGGCGCAGCTGAACGCTATTGGTGTACAGAGATACGTCATTCGCTTACGCAACAAGCCAGAATGAAAATAAAAAACACATAATAAATGTTTAAAATACACAGCTGAGAGATTACAGAGGAATTATATATACATATAATACTGAGCCATGGTCGACCCGGGCTCAAACAAACCTCGTCGTAGTCTTGATGAACAGCCACAAAGCCAAAAAGAAGAGCAGCTTTACCCTGTGCCCCTTCGTTTTTTCATGAGCCAGCCTGAATTGCCGCGCATCTATATTTGAACTAACAAACCTCTTGAGCTGATGATAATAACATGCGCTTAAATATTGACGTGCTTTTGAAACCCTATCCTATCAGAAACTGACTAACGCGAGAGTGAAGTGCGAAAAAAAAAAAGGAGAAGTCGTAAAAAAAGGAGCACAATATTTTTTCAGCAAACATGAACAAACTGCCTTGTTTAACTACTATTATCACCTTTTGGACCATTATGATGACTATACAGAATGATGGAATTACTCTAACAAAGGTTACATGTGCTGCTGAATGTGTTCATATATGTTGCATTTATTTATTTTTTTTGTAATTGCAGATGTTACAGTAGACTATTTCGCACTGTCATTGATTTGCAGTTATAATCAACTCATGTTCATAGAAAAGTTATTTATGTGTATAAAGCATCTGTTTTGTGTGAAGTGCTTCTCATATGATATGTGAGCGACACTGTCAGGGCTCGACAATAAGGACTGCCCGATGGCCCAGGGCCAGCGTACGAGACGCTCGGGCCAGTGTATAGAATGTTTCTGGCCCGATCGGGCCAGTGCTGTCTTGTTGCCTGCCACATCGAGCCAGAGCTGCATGCTGCGACTGTCTGTCAATTGTGTGCAAATACAATCTTACAGTGCTTTCACACATAGACGTTTGTTTCGGAACCTGTCTCGTTTTCCCCGTTAGCGCGGTTTGTTTGGCATATATCCAGCAGTTGCGCTCGCATCCGCGCCAAATCAATCAGTCCGAGATCGCCTGAATGAGACGGTCTCTGCCTTACTGAGCGGATCGATTGTAGTGAGAAAACAAAACAATGCAACGAACTAACGACCCAGGCTATATCACAGTGCATTATGATTGTGTAATAGCCATATATACGGCTATATGAAGAGAGTACCGGTAAATGCGAAAGTGAAAGCATGCTGAAATATTACCGAGAGCTGTTTATCCAGCCTGATCTCGGTTTATCCGTTAGGAAAAATGACCGAAATTACTATCTGATCATTTTTTCCATATTTTAATCGTATAACATGTTGTATAAGGCCAGTTGTTTTGTTCATATCTGCACTGACAGCTCGAAAGATCAACATTGAACAGCATGTCTCTATAATTTAAGCCTAAAATGCAGAATTCAAGCCAACGTTTCTTTAATAGATTGATTAATTCAATAGATAGATTTTACAAAACCTGACAATTGAAATGAGGCTCTGTATAAGAAAGTCTGACCTCTCTGATTTGTATTTGGTGACTATGTCTGTGGGTTGTTAAAATTAAAGTGCACATTTTCGCTTCTATACACAACTTGTCAAAAGTTTGGGGTCAGTATGATTGCTAAATATGTTAAAATAAGCTTCTTCTGCTCACCAAGGCTGCAATTATTTCATCATAAATACAAATTGTGAAATGTTGCACTAAATAACTGTTCAAAAGTAGTTTATCATTTAATTTATTCATTTATTCCAGTTATTTTAAAGATGGAATTTCAGCTTCATTACTCAAGTCACATGATCCTTCAGAAATCACTAATATTAATTATTATTATTATATTTATTAATGGTAATAGTAATAAAAGCAATAATTTCTGGAGTAACAATTTGATTTGAAACTACATACAATAACAAAGCAGTTATTTAAACTTGATAAATTTTTAACAATTTAAATTTTTTTACATTTAAAAAATGTAGCCTTGATGAACTGAATAATTTTCCTTAAAAACATTTAAAAATTACTGCAACTGTGTGTATATATATATATATATATATATATATATATATATATATATATATATATATATATATATATATATATATATAAAGTCAGAATTATTAGCCCCCCTTTGTTGTTTTTTTTCTTTTTAAAATATTTCCTAAATGATGTTTAACAGAGCAAGGAAATGTTGATAGTATGTCTGATAATATTTTTTTCCTCTGAACAAAGTCTTATTTGTTTTATTTTGGCTAGAATAAAAGCAGTTTTTAATTTTTTATGAACCATTTTAGGGTCAAATTTATTAGCCCCTTAAGCTAATTGTTTTCAGACTGTCTCCAGAACAAACCATCGTTATACAATAACTTGCCTAATTACCATAACCACACACGCACGCACACACGCACGCACACACGCGCGCGCACACACACGCACACACGCACGCACGCACACACACACACACACACACACACACACACACACACACACACACACACACACACACACACACACACACACACACACACACACACACACACACACACACACACACACAGTCAAATAGCTATTAGCCCCTTTCACACAGTGATACCGGTAAATATCTGGAAAATTTCCGGAACGACTTTACCGGTATATTCACAAAAGCGCTGTTCACACAGGCGAGGACGTTACGGAAATTTTCTGGAAAAGAGCATTCACACATCCATTTCAAAATACCGGTAAAAATCAATCACCACAAATGAGCTTTAAACGGCTGCGCTTGTATTTGTAAACATTTGACTAAATTACAAACTCTGTGGATGATCAATATTGTGAACAACTTTCGCAGGATCACTTTCGCATGTCGAGATGTTCATAATATGTGCGTGTGCAGGCGCTCACAGGCTGTTTTACAGGCACACGCAAAGCTTGAAGGTAAACAAACAACAGCTTATCATAAGCATCTCATCGATGATTATTTTACACAGTTGGCATTAAGAAGAACATATAAACGTGATCTGACTAACTTCTAGCAGCTAAATGTGTCTTTCAAAATATTAACAGGCTTTTATTCTCACAAACCGCGCGGACGTGAATGCGTCTGACTGTTGTGATTGGCTTAAGCAGACGTCTCACATCAGCACGTTCTAGACGTGCACGCGCTTATTACGGTAATCTTCCTTCTGCATTCACACAGCGCAGCATTCCGGCAAATTGCCGGTAATGTTACAACTTCTCTTTCTGGAAAATAGCCAGAACGAATTTACCAGTATTTTCAAAAAGGACCTGTTCACACATACAACCTTTCCCAATTTTCCGGAAAGGTCTGTATGTGTTAAAGGGGCTAATAACTTCTTTTTTTTTTTTTTTGGTGGGGCCAGTGAAAATTTTGGCAGGGCAAGTAAAAAGCAGAACCACTGGCCCAATCGGGCCAGTAGAAAAAATCCTTAGCGTTGAACCCTGACCGTACAACTTTACTGTAGATATTTTCTCAAGCGAAAATGATGTTGACTAAAACTCTTTCGTACACCATGCCCACCAAAAGGGTATTATTGGTGCCCTTTTAGCAGTGGAAGCGCAAGCCTGATAAAGATGACCCGTGCCGTACCACTCAGTGGAAACGGGCCATTAGCAGTGAAAATGTAACCGAAAGCGAGCACATCATTTAAACAATCATATCACATTTTAGAGTTATGATTGCGATAAGCATTTATAATGTTTTTCTTTCATAGTGAACACAAAGTGTTGTGCATGAAAATAAATGTTTAACAGTGTCAGTATAACTACTCTAGCCTATACAATGTTAAATATAATGCAAGAGGGAATCTGATAATGAAAATGTTTGATTTTACCAGTGAATAAAATGGTCTAATAATGTTGTCAATGACAGATGGCAAGCCTATATCTCAAACACAACAATTCAACATCAGAATTAGGAATCATCCCTTTACTGTGCATTAATGACCAGTCCAAGACTGAATTTAAAGTCTGTTCAAGCCCACCATTCAAAGTCTATTTAAAATTTAGCATTTTAACCAACAGTATACATACACATAATAATAGTATTATTGTTGTTTTACCATATGTTTGAGAAATAACAATAATAATAGCTTACTCATATTAATCTTTATTTTACATTTATCAAATCGTAAGAAAATCGTGATCCTTATTTTAAGCAAAAAAATTGTGATTCTTATTTTAGCCAAAATTGTGCAGCACTACTTTATATTTATTTTTGAACCACACAAAAACCAAAGTTTAGAAACTAATGCTTGGTGGTATAACCCTGATATTCCATCAAAACAAATAAAAACATTTGTTTAAAAATCTAAAATGATTTAAAAAAGAAAAAAACCCTACTGTTTAAACACATACATTTAAATGACAATTTAAACTAATTTTATTTTAAATAAGTCAAATATTTTGATTATGAAAAGGCCCATTCAAATCTAAACTAACAAATCTTATTTTATGGGGTACTGCACAATGTATCATAATTTTTCTGCGCTTATGTGCAAATGATTTTAAGAAGCATCTAAGACGTGTGAATGCACATACAGACATCTCTGCGGTGTCTCTTTCACCACTGTAAAAACATCACATAAATGTGACAACAGGAAGTGACAATGGCAAATTTTCTGAGCAACCACCAGCAGTGTTGCTGCAGTAAGTGTTATTGGTTCAGTTTTCGATTCACAGTTTTATGCAGTGTACATTATAAAATGAATCCCAAATTGTAACACTTAAAGTACACATGAAATCAAAACTAACCATATGATTTTGTTAGCTTGCATTGCTAGTTTTGTGGTAAACAATTCATCTGTGCCTTCTAATCTAAAATTAAAATTCGAAAATGCACTTCCTGTCCGTTTTCAGTTCAATTCTCTGATTACGCCGGTTTGACAGGGTTTCTGCAGATATCATAATGTCAAATTTAAGACTTTAAGACCTTTTTAAGACCATTAAGTATTAAATTTAAGACCTATCACAATATCAAAAACATGCATACACTTAAAGAGAATTGCAAAAATCATGAAATTAGTGGTAAAATAAATGTATTCAAATTGAACAGCACTAAAGACAGGTTAGATGCACCATTGAACTACAGAAAAAGCAAACAAACAAACATCCTAATGCTAATTTTATACTTTCGCCTGGTGCCACATAGCGCACCAGGCGAAACGAAGGAGGCTTTTATACTTGACGCATTTGCCATTGAGATATTTTTTTTAAAATGACAGAGGGCGGTCAAGGGACTGTAAAATCATACGGATAAACAGAGAAGTAGGAAGTTACCAGAACTAGGTCATATCATTAATATCATTAAAGATGTTTTGGGGCTTCTTTTTTTGTTTTAACAAACTTATCCCTCAGGTTTTCCCCAAACTTTTATAAAAACTTTTCTTCCTTTCCCACTGCTGTTGCAATTTCTGGCCAAGAATTATTGGCCATCTGGTTCTCCCTATGAACACGCATGGACTGATCATAAAGATGTCTGTACAGTCGTACGGTTTCAGACAAAATCTCTTCAAAGCATTTCATATTCAACTCAAATCAAATGCTGGGCCGTGTGAACTGTTCACCTGAGTTTAAAAAAATTCAGTAAACTCCGCTATGGCGTAATTTTACCGACAAATGTCCTAAGTGCAGTATTTCAAGTCAAGAGCGCATTCATGTAATACGACCGAGCGAATCTCTTTGCTCGTGCACAGATTTTCTCTCTTTGTGGACAAAACTGTGTGCGAGCTCTCAAATATAATCCGTTGCTCAATTTTCTTGCGCGCTCTCAGTACACTGCTCGCTCAGTGAGATTATATGCAGACTCAATGTGTCTTGTGTTCCTTATTCCTTTCGTGCTTTTTGATATGATTTATATTAGTACACTTTATTATCAATAACCAAAATACTAAAATAGACTTACATATTACATTTTAAACTAATAAACCATACATTTTGGCTGTAGGTTATATGATGAGATATTTCCAGTTTCAATCCCTTAAAGATCCAGAAAACAGTTTTAATTTAAAAACATTTATTAAACATCCAAAAGGTGCACCATACTAATAAAAAAACATTTAAATAAAACTAATGCAAGCAGAAATGTAATTGTGATAGAAAATAGGGGAAACCTTGATTAGGTATTATAGCCTACTGCACTATTCACTCTTCAAATAAATCTCACTATCAATCCCATTTTATCAAGGCAACTAAAATAAAGGGAACTAGTCTCTGCTCTCTTCCACATTGATAAGATTGTCATCCTCTAAATTTTGAGGAAAAGCTGTTCCACAGGGCCACTAAACAAGTATATTGCCATGTACAGTGTTATGAACAGTACTATGGTGAAGTACTTCAATTACTCTGTTGTGGTAATACTATAGTTGCAATGGTAACACAACAAGTGTAATATAAACAAACTGTAGTTTTTTTTTTTTTTTTTTTTTTTTTTACAATATAGGGTTTATTATTCTACAATTCAACACACTTTACTGTAACTACACTGTATTTCATTTTATCGGTTCACTATTGTTAATACTACAGTATGCTGAAGCCTTTATTAACAAGTTGTAAATAAAACTAGCCTAAAACAGGCAGTATACCCAACACTCAAAACCACTCGAATTTATTATAGAATTTATCTCAACCTTTTAGATTTTGTGTATTGTTAATAAATAGTCTAGCAATATATACAAACCACATCAACATTCTTGGAATAACCAATTTAACAGAAGGATCTCTGGAGAGCAAAAGCACGAAAGGAAGAGGAAACACAAGACAAAAAAATTGTGAGTCCGCATCATCCGATGGAGCGAGAGCAGATAATTTGTGCGCGAGCAGCCAGTGTTTTGAGAGCTCGCGAGCAGTTTTGTCCACGAACAGAGGAAACCAGCGCGTGAGCAAAAAGATTCGCTCTTTTGTATTATATGAATGCGCTCTCAACTTATAATACTGCGCTTTTGTCATTTGGCAGTGTGCATAGCTGTGAATATACCCCATTGGTGTGAGAACTCCTGTAAAAATGTCATGAAAAGACGACTTACCTTTCTGAATTTGTTGTCTACTGGCACTTCCACAGGTTTTAGTTCCGTATGAAAGGAAGGCAGCTTTAAAAATGCCAGTGACATCAAAGCCAAGCTCAGAAGAAGAATCATCGTCCGTTTGCTAGGGAAAAAAGGATAAGTTACTTCAATTAAAACATTAGCATTAAGAAAAAAAGACATTAACCTTGGGTCTACAATTTACCTGAAATAACAGCTGGATTGTTTCATGACTCTCCTCATGGTTCCTCAACACCAAGTCCTCGGTTTACTACTTATGCTCAAAATAAGAGATCTTCACTTCACTTGTGTGTGGAGGAACTGAAACCAAAAGCAGAAAATAAGAACAAACTGATCAACTAAAATAGTGCAGATGTCAAACTATGAAAAAGAAAGCATATGGCTGTGCATCAAACGGTAATCTAACAGAATGGCACCAAAGTTCTGATTAACCGATGAGCTCAACTAAAACAATTTGCATGAAACAGAGGAAGCACTTTAAATATCTTAACCACTTACAACCATACAATAAACTGATGAATGAGAAGTGTGTTGCAGTTGACTAAAGTAGTGATGATAGACTTCCTTTAAACATATCATTACATAGTTGACTTATTGTTTAATATAATTGAACTATGCTATTTTATTTTTAAAAAACACATTGAAAGATGATGTACAATTTTAGAAAGGTATTTTAAGGTAGCTAGACAACTGTCAGCAATTGCAGTAATAAATATGCTAATTACTGTTATTGCAGGCACTAAAAATAGTGTGAATTATGAACACCATCTAATGGAGAGAATAAATGTGATGGTGTTTTTATTATTTAAAAAACATAATACATTTTTTTAACTTTTTCACGCGTGATTTTTAAATACTCCAGCTGACCCTTCTGCACGAGTTTTTTTATTGTGACCGTTATTTTGAATCCATTGCATTTTAAAGTTTCTATGGTGACATGTCAAGTATACGGTAAAGTCTAGATGGGATACAGCTGCGGATACACACATTAATATAGCATCATTTTTGTGACAATGTACAACAATCGATAATATTCTTACAGAACTGTGAAGGTTGGGTTTAGGGTTGGGGTAGACATTAAAGAATACAATTTAATGGGTAATTTAATAAATAACAAATAATATTTGATACAACGACTGTTTTTACATCACGGTAACGTTTGGGTTTTGGGGTAAGGTTGGGTTGATATGATAGACAATGCCATCGTAGATGACCGATAGATCACAATGCTGAGCCGTCATAGCGATCCTCCACCCCGCCCCCGTCACAGCAGCAACCAGCTCGTTAAAAAAAAACACACACTTTTTTGATTACACTAATACGTCTTAGTTTTAAAATGTAATTTTAAAACGAAAATGATCCACGTCCACACTGGCGTTTCATTTAGCATTTCTGAAAAGATCTTTCCGTCCATACTATACTGCAGAAAACGCACATCACGTGACCACATACGAACAAACAAACAAACACATTCATGCTCCGCGCATGTCTGAGCTCTAGCAGTCAATGCTGTCAATCACATAAGGTCTCTCTAAATTAGTATAATATTATTAGTTTAATGAACACACACATTGTTACAATGAAAATGTATTTACAAATACAGCCTAATAATAAACTATCAATATTAAAACATTTAAAATAAAATGCTTATTTTATTGTTGTTAACTCCCAAAACACCGGTGACTCATTTATGTGAATGCGTTAATGAAAAATCATAAAGATTATCTGATTATTTAACTGCATTTTGCAACTCAGAGGATATTTTTAACTGCAGGGAGCACAATAAACCCAAGAAAGACACCGACTTCTGCAAGAAAAAGCAAACATGTTAATTTTTTACCAAAAGAAAAAAGGTTAAAAATGGTCAAATTCCTTCAAACCATTGTACATTCTTTAACAGGAAAAAATTTATTGATTTCTTTTACAATTATTGGGTTTGCTTTATTTTACAGAATTTTGTTACTTCTGTTCAATTTTTTTTTACTACAAAAATTACAGATAAGAGAACCGTTAAAATATCGAACCAATAAGTTGTACCCATCACGGTAAACAATACCCATCCCTAGGAATAGGTATGGATTACATTTTCAAAAAATGATGTTCCAGGATCAACACAGATGTTAATTCAGGAACACATCATACTTCGCAAAATCATGACATGCCGTTTCAGACACCACTAGAAATGGCTGCTCCCTTAAATAGTGCACTATTTAAGGGTATAGGGAACATTTTAAATGCAACCCACAGAAACCACACAACCTGCTCACGTTTCGGAAGTGTTATTCTAAAAGCAGCACAAACGGAGAAGGTTAAATGATCAGCTATATGCAAAACATGTGCCGTGTTTTAAATAAAGGCTTACACACACAGCATTGTTGGTTTACAAAAGAAAAAAAAATCTATAAAAAAATAACAAACATCCTGTTGCACTACTACACTTGATTTTGATTTTACCGTAAAAAAAGAAAAGAAAATAAACATGTTAAATGAGAATCTGAAATATTTTATGACATGCTTAAAAAAATGTGATTTAGTATTCAAACATGTTTTTTATTTTGAATATTTTTTTACATAAATTGCTCTTACACTTCATATTTTCAGATTTTTCTTAGTATATGTATTTATTCTGGTACTTTTACCAAAAATAGACAAATCAACCATTTGGTACAAGCTGATATTTTAAAAATTATGGGATGTGTTGAAAAACGTGCATTGTGTATATAAACTAGTGACATTAGGAGTTAAGAAATGCAATCCAAACATTTTTTTTTTTTTTTTTTTTGGTGGGGTAGTTAAAGGGTCATGGTAAAGTTGTTTTAATATTCACCCGTTCAGAATTTATCCTTAATAATATAACTTCAGAAATATATTCTTTGTTAATACTAAATAGTGAAATACTCGCAGCCAGTGACTATCAAAGTACAACATAGTTCACGGTCAATCAAATGGAGCAAATGTTGTTTTGAAGTCATTCATACGTGTGATTTCAGGCCGAATATTGAAAGTACCATGGTAAACAATACAGGGAACATGTCACACGTTGTCACTGAAAACCAACTTTACCTCAATAATTTCCCTGCTGTGTAACAGGACATTATATCTATCCAAAATATGTCATTAGTATTGGAGTTAGTAATAGATAAATAATCATTCACACTTACCTGTGCTTTTATGTAGTATGCTAGACAGAAGAATCCGCTTACTGAACTTAAAACTGAATTTCCCAGTTTCAACTTGTTGTACATTATTTATCCATTTAGTACTCTACTGGATTTTCGCATGTACCCAATGACACTGCGTCAAGAATCACTCTTAAACTCATCTTCTCCCTACATGTTTTGCAACCGAATAAATTGCTCGCCGTCTGAGCTAGCAGCGTGTCGACGCCAATTTCTCAATAATCAAAATAATCGACGCCACTGACGGAAATGTAACGTTACAAATCATGCCTTGATGTAAGTAATTTCAACAATGTATAGAAAATGTAACTTATTGATTGTTGAAGCGGTCAGTCATGTTATCCAACTAATATTTGAGGCTCAAGTGTTACAGTGTATTTACAAAGTAGCCGTAGTTATCCACTCAGTGCCCTTCGTATTTGGGGGTGTATCTAGCGACTATATAAAACACAGTCAATAAAATCATTATATATGATAACAGCTATAATAATGCAATAAAAACCGTCCAACGTGTAAGACTTGGGCACTTCTTTCTACAACACTCAATACGCACATGACACGTATCAGCGCGTGCAGGTCAAAGCTGTTATCCGTCGCACTACATTTTAACATTAATATTTGAGAGAAGTCTAGTTTAGCGTTATCGACAGAGATGCTTCTTAATCTTCTTCTTCTTCTTCTTCTTCTTCTTCTTCTTCTTCTTCTTCTTCTTCTTCTTCTTCTTCCTCTGTCTCTTCTTCTAGTCTGTTTTAGGGCTACTGGTAACCCAGTTATAGATGTAGGCTATACCGCCACCTACTAGGATGGACTGTGGAGCGTCAGGGGATTTAGTTTTTAATTATTAAAAAAAAAACGAAAACTGATCTTTATATTCTGACCATCAACCCTGCTTCTTTAAAATATATAACTAATACTTTATTGTAACATGTAATTTAATCTTTGTAAAATATGATACTAGTCAACAGTGTTGAGGTAATGCATTATAAGTAACGCAAGTTAAGTAATATTACTTTTCAAGGTAAGAAGTAATGCATTACTTAAAAATTAAAATAATAATACTTGAATTACTTTTCTGAAAATGTAACATTAGTTAAAGTTACTTTTTATTTCAATTAATTAGCTTTTAAAATAACAAATAGCTGAATTAAAATGAACTTAGTTACAATCAGTCCTGCATTCAATGAGAGAATGCGGGAACAGACAGAAACCAAGATCCAGGGCCTAACATTTCACTATAATGGAAGTATTCTCATTATTCTGAACACATTAAGGAAAAGGAAAACTGCATTATCTCAATAGACAGTGATCTAGTAAGACAAGCATAGCAAACACATTGCTTTAACTATGGTGGGTTCAGGTTTTTCTAAAGACCCAACCCCTACTGACAAAGGTCCAGAATTTGTCCCATACATGAGATCATTTGTCCTACTTTGACTGCTGTTGTATACTACAACTGCTAAACCATTAAAAATTGTGTAAATAACCCATGGAATCTGGCGTAAATGAAGTCATCTTTCACTAAGAACATACTTTATTGTTGTTAAGAGAAAACATTTTACAAGGAACTTAATTTATTGTAAATCTTGGACCTTATTATTCAGAGAAAAAATAACCACATTTTACTAATTAGGCTGTTGTTGTTGTCCATGAATTTTCAAATGTACTTTATACAAGAGAAGCTAGAAAAATCATACATTATTATTAATATTTTTCATTCATTCATTCATTCATTTTCTTGTCAGCTTAGTCCCTTTATTAATCCGGGGTCGCCACAGTGGAATGAACCGCTAACTTATCCAGCAAGTTTTTATGCAGCGGATGCCCTTCCAGCCGCAAACCATCTCTGGGAAACATAAACACACACATACACACAGACAATTTAGCCTACCCAATTCACCTGTACCGCATGTCTTTGGACTGTGGGGGAAACCGGAGCACCCAGAGGAAACCCACATGGACGCAGGGAGAACATGCAAACTCAACACAGAAACGCCAACTGAGCCGAGAATCGAACCAGCGACCTTCTTGCTGTGAGCTATAATATGCTACCCACTGTGCCACTGCGTCGCCCACCTTAATTAATCCGGGTCTTATTATTTTTTATTAATTATTATTATTTATTTATTATTATTAATTGTTCAATATTCAAATGGGCAAAGTTTTTTGAATGCGCCTACTGGTAGGCTCAGAAGGCTGTTATCATCCATCCACATAATAAGCTATAGTTTGCATATGGCTGCAATCGGAAGTTAACGAGAATTATTTATTATTTTTTAAATTTTAATTGTATTTTATAAATGTCTACCCCTACCCTAAACCCAACTGTCACAGTAATGTTAAAACTGATCTGGATCTGGAGTTCTCCTACGCATCCGCTAGTTCGCTAAGGTGGGCGCGACGAATGTGACGTCATTGTGGAGTTTGTGAAGGTTCGCTTTGGATGAGCACGACATGATTTTGGCCGGGGGAGTGCACAATTTTATTTGAGACTTGAGCGAACAAACGCCGCGTTTGATTTGAGTTGAGTATGAACCACTTTTTGAATAGATGTAGTCTGAAACAATACAACTGTACAGACAGCTTTATGATCAGTGATCATAGAGATAACCAGATGACCAATAATTCTTGGCTAGAAATTGCAACAGCCGTGGGAAAGAAGGAACGTTTTTGGTAAATGAGATGGCACTGAGGAAAACCTGAGAGATGAGTTTGTTAAAGCCAAAAGAAGTCATGGCAAAAGTGGAGACTCAGGTAAACAATTACAGAATATGTTTTTTCACCAGGCACAGGTTTTACACTGATGTATATGTTACAGTTTTGAATTTAAAACAGTTTAATAGTTACAAAACTGTAATTAAGAAACAAATTAATTCTTTGAAAACTGGAAAAGGAATATTTGAACCTATCGGTTTACAGTATACTGATGCCCTGTTTTTATAGGTTTTATTAGTGATAATGGTCAGGAATGTTGGACCATTATTGTCTTTTTATCATATCAGTAGAGGACACACTGGCCAGACAGTAATGTGTGAATGTGGAGCGGGCTAAATCAAAAAAAAAAAAAAAAAAAATCTGTATTTTTTAGTAGGTGAACTTTTTTGTATTTATTTTTGCCATTATAAAAAATATATTTGAAGAGCAACCCATGTTCTCTTGTCATTAATATTTTAATAAAGTTTAATAGGTACAACTGTCTGAGATATGAACAAAAGCAAGTGATGCATTAAAGTTGGATTTTAAAAAAAATAATAAATGGTTAAAAAAATCTTTATAATCATTAAAATAATTTATAAAAATAACTAGTTTAAAAGTATTGAATGATATTCATGATGACGTAGTTCCAGAAAGGTTCTACTTCTCTGTTTATCTGTCTGACTTTACGGTCAGTTTCTTTTGACTGCCCCCTGTCGTTTTAAAGAATATCACAGGCGAACGCAGCAAGTATAAAAGCCTTCAATTCAAAGCAGTGGTGCAGTAGGTAGTGCTGTCGCCTCACAGCAAGAAGGTCGCTGGTTCGAGCCTCGGCTCAGTTGGCGTTTCTGTGTGGAGTTTGCATGTTCTCCCTGCATTCGTGTGGGTTTCCTCCTGTTGCTCCGGTTTCCCCCACAGTCCAAAGACATGCAGTACAGGTGAATTGGGTAGGCTAAATTGTCCGTAGTGTATAAGTGTGTGTGTGAAAGTGTGTGTAGATGTTTCCCAGAGATGGGTTGAGGCTGGAAGGGCATCCGCTGCATAAAAACTTGCTGGATAAGTTGGCGGTTCATTCCGCTATGGAGACCCCGGATTAGTGAAGGGACTAAGCCAACAAGAAAATTAATGAATGAATTCGCGAGGTGCGCAATGTGGTGCCAAGCGAAAGTATAAATCCCGCTAAAGCGGGTAATTGAATGCAGTGTGTGACACCAAACATCTCCTATCAGGTCTATTCTTCAAAATGCTTCATTTCAAAGAGCCCTTCAGTTCAGAACAACAGTTCAGTATGGCAGCCATCTTTTTTTCACTCTGAAGTGCTCTTTGGAGGGCAATATATCCCATTTGAATTGCACAGATCACCTTGTTTTTGTAGTGATTTGCTTTATATTCATTGGTGCATCTTCTGGAGTGCAGACTGTATATATGTTAAAGAGCCCATATTATGCATGAAATAGGGTCATATCTTGGTTGTAAGGGTCTCCAACAAAAATCTAATATGCATGCAAGGTCAAAAAACACTTTCGTGGTCTTATAATCTGCATTTATTTTTACCTAATTATCCCAGCGACTCCCGTATGAATCGTCCAGTGATTCATTTGTTCCTAAACCCCTCCTTAGCACGTAGCTAATCTGCGCTGATTGGACCGATGACAGTCTGTCGCGATTGGTCGACTGCCTTCAGTCAGAGAGTGAAATGGCTAATAGCTAATCAGCAATATAAAAAGTAATCACAGTTCATACACACTCGATAGTGTAGGCGTGGATTTTAGCTGCCACACACACACAAAAACACACACACACCTCCGGACGACAACGCTCCCGCTTCCGCCCGCACCCGCCAAGTTTTAGCCTGAGAACCCGCTCCGTTTTCTGCCCGCCGCGCCCGATCCCGCTAGAGCGGGGGAGAAAACAACCAAAAATCACCCAGCTATACAGTCCAGACAGCCAAGATGTCTGTATAAACACACACACAGCACCAAGCACACAAAGCTCGCTCTCGCTCGCTCTCTCTCTCTCATACGCGCGCGTGCGCACTAACACACACACACACACAAGCACCAAGCAGACTCTCTCTTTCTCATTCGCATAGCAATATCCGTGATATTGCTAGACAGCCCGCTCCCGTCCCAAATTAAACCCGTTACCAACCGCTCCCGCGATTTATTTGGAAATTTATTTCCGCGCCGCAGAAATCTGGCGCGGGGACAGCCGCGGGAACTCTACCACGGAGCTCCATAAACAAAGCAGCACGCGTCGCGTTTTTAACGTGACTTTGCACGCGATAAGAGAATATAGCCAGTTAACCTGATACAGTACACGCGGTTACAAGTAACAAATCACAACTAAATACATTTGCAAGCTAGAGTCAACGAGGCAACAACTTTAACCGCACGCACTTGAGAAAGGTAGGAAGAAACCTATCCTGACGTCCATCAGTAAGTTACTCTTTACTGATCCTTCCTTTAACAAACTCAGATGAAGTATTCTTTGGAGCATGTAGCTTCCAGAAGTTTCCAGTAGTTTCCAACTGCTTGGTTATAATGCTGATGTTTCATCTTTGGGTAGAGACTCGATATAATATCCATCTGCAGTGTGACTTCAATCGACCAGCATGTTTGTGTGCGTGTGTTTGTGTGTGTGTGTGTGACTGGGTTTCTGCGTCAGAGGGCGGGGCCTCAGGTTTAAAATCTCCCGGGTTTGCGCGTGCACGTGAATAACTTGGTTTCGTTCGTCTGGGAGTGTGTATTACGTCTCAGAGTGTGCTGCATTAATGCATGAGTAGGGCTTGGTTCAAACCAATCTGCGCGCTCTATTGTGCAACGTCATTAATATTCATTAATGTTACAGTGTAGACGGCAGAGACGCCACGTTGTGTTGGCAAAACAGGCGTGCAGTGTTGCTTTTATAATTTGCTGCAGTGAAGGTTTTGTTTTCATTTTCTCTCTATGAGAGCGCAGCTGGACTCACATTTGGATTACAGTGCACGCGACAACAATAACTTACGTGTCAAAGGAACATTGTTTACCTGAGAGCTTTTCTCTTCAGCAAATGGTGAGATCCGGATTCGCTGCTCGTCTCCTCTTAATAAAGACGCGGCTCTAGTTGCTGTGGATTGTCCTGTCTCTACAGAAGTTTCATGGTTTTGGAGATGTTTTCTGCAGCAGGAGTTGGCTACTTAAACATCTACGAGTAAATGCAAAGTGAAGCTCCTTTGTTCTTTTGTTTTTTTGTTGTTGTCCATAATTCAATCAGTCAGTAAACTTCATGACACGTCTCAATGGTTAATGGGTACTCAATGGGGGAAAAAACAACAACAGTTCATTAAAACTGAAAACATTGAAATAATGAAATGGCAAATTCAGAGTCCTGATCTAAACCTGTTTTTCTGTTGCACAGTATGGTGCAGTTTGGCACAGCTCAGCTTGCTTTTGTTTTGCTCAGCTTGGTTTGCATTTCCACTGATGGTCAGTATCGTTTAAAGTTGGTGGGACTATCATTACGGTTTGGATGCCTGTACTACCATGGCATCATCGTCTTCATTCTGGGTTAACCAAGTAATGATGCTGATAATAATGGTTTTAGTAATGATTCTCGCCGACCAATCACGATCAGCATTGTTTTGGTAGCCTAGTAGCAGTAGCCTAGGTAATAGGTACAAAATGCAGTGTAAAAGACCTTAAGAAATCTATTTACAATCGCCAAAGTGTGAGATGCTGAAAGAAGAGTTGAGTTTATCGATATCATCCCAATCAATCTAAGGGTGCAATAGCTTTCATTAGGCATGCGTTGCAAATTTTGAAAGAACTGGTTAAGATTGTGCCTCTGAAAGAAAATACCTGTACCACTGAACTAAAAGAGACACTATCAACTTTTACAATATCTGGCCAGACGGTTCTGTTTGTTTAAACCTTCCATTCTATGCCAGTGCAGGCCAGTCAGCATGGATGCTGCTTCATTTTCCACTGTGGTGCTGTTAAAGAAGAGATCTCTTTCCACTACTGGGTTGCAGCTGGAAGGGCATTCACTGAATAAAACATATGCTGGATAAGTTGGTGGTTCATTCCACTGTGGCGACCCTTAATGAATAAAAGGACTAAGCTGAAAGAAAACATGAAATTTGGCATAGTGTATGAGAGTGTATAGGTGTTTCCAAGCACTGGGGGTTCACAAATTAAGAACATTCTTTATAAACTTTGCAACAACTGTGACTAGTGACAGGAGAGCATAGTTGATAATAGTCAGTCCTTTATTTTTTTCTCTTTCATCGTTGTCACTCACATTCCCAACCCTAGACTGGAGAGGAGATGACAGTCATTTACACCTCAGACGGCCTTAATAGTGATTAAATTAATAGCAGAGTTTAACTTTTGGCTGAACTGTTTATTTATTAGCCATTGCTTTTCTATTAGGCGCATCATATATATATATATATATATATATATATATATATATATATATATATATATATATATATATATATATATATATATATATATAGATTGGATATGCAATTAGTTATGTACAAAGTGTATTATTGGTAAAAGCAGAGTAATGACAATTGATACATTTTCCATATGTGACCCTCGACCACAAGCCAGTCTTAAGTCTTACAACTTTTGGAAATTGAAATCAAATAAACGCTAACTAAATAAGCTTTATATTGATGTTTGGATTGTTACAATGTGACTATTTGACTGGGATACAACTATTTGAACATCTGTACCTGAGGGATCCAAAAAAATCGAAATATTGAAAGAATCACCTTTAAACCTGTCAAATTGAAGTGCTTAGTAATGTATACATACTGAAAAAAAATGCCGGGTTCCACATAGGTCCTTCATGTTGTCACAACACAAACCTAATCATTTATACAAATTTAAGAGTTGTCCCTCAAAAAAACTTAAGCAGCAAAAGTCATATTTTGAGTGCATGACATGACATGTTTACATAACATTTTTATTTAATATTCTATAGAAGTTTGTACTGAATACAATTCGTTTTTAGCTATTCGCACAAGTTTACATGTGCAATTTAAGACTCATTGTGTGGCCCAGGGTCAAAAACGTGTCACATTCTCAAAGGACACTATACTGTTTTTGAAAATAGACTAATTTTACCACTTCCCTAGAGATAAACAGTTGAGTTTTGACCATTTTTAATCAATTCAATTTATTTTATATTATTCATTCATTATTCATTCCCTCTTCCCAGACACTTCCTCCAGGTCCTCCAGGGGGATCCTGAGGCGTTCCCAGGCCCGCAGAGAAACATAGTCCCTTCAGGCTCAGTCGTTAGGACTAAGCCAAAGGAAAATAAATGAATGAATGTATCTGTCTTCATGCACGATGTAACTACAGAAGAGTCAAACTTTAAGTAGGAAAATTATCTAAACACTTTTGTGAGTTTTTGCGTGAGATGCTAATGGTCTAAACTTATTAAATGATTTATGCTAAGCTAAGCTAAAAGGGAGACCTAGAGATCGACTGAATGGATTCAAAAATGCTCAAACTCAACAGCTTAGCTCTAGGGGAGTTGTAAAAGGAGCTTATTTCCGGTTGAAGTGAAGTGTTTCTTTAAACACGATTGTCTGACCGGCGTTAATATTTGTGGGGCTGGGATTCTGTAATCATATCTATGGTCTATTAGTTTACTGATTATTTGCTGCTGTCTATACTCTTCTGACTAATTTGCTCAGTCTTAGGGTTATCTTGTTGTACTGTACTTTCTCCTCTGTTGTCGGTATCAGCTGCAGGTATGACGACAGCCTCCTCCACAGTTCGTACCACAGAAAATCTAGAGCATCCTTTAGAACTATCATCAACAATCTCTGCCGTGCTCGTACTTAATTTCTCTTGCGATTTCGCATTTAAAGTCTCATCATCCTCAGGCTTTTGTTTCTCTGGGCTGTTCTCCCTAAAAGTCTCATCTAATTTATAACCAGAACCTTTATTTGAATTTGGATTTAAAGCTGCTTCAGTGTCAGAGGGAGACACCGGAACGGAGCTCAAGCATTCTTCCAGTGAGATGGAGAGCTGATCAGCAGTGGTTGATCCTTCTTTGTCCTCCACAAATACTTCCGGCCCTGCTTTGATCTCCACAGGACTACTAGTCTTGTAAAAGCCCAGCAAAGTCACACTCTTCTTCCGTTTGCCTACATTTGGGACTTTGCCGTTAGTTGCTCCAGAGTCTTTAAACATGTTGCGGATGTTGTATTCCTCCTGAGACTTCAGTGAAGTTTCCTTCAATCCCGTCCTGCTGTCTGAGAGCGTTGTGTCATTCGATGTGTTTCCTGGCTTGGGGGTAGGAAGATTCATTGACCCGTGAAGGCTGTTTCTCTTGTCCATGTGGGTGACACGGAATCTGTGAATTCAGGTAATTAATGTTGGTAATAAGTAATATTTAATATTGTAATATTAATAATAATTACTATTTATATATGAAAAGTAGTATTGTTGGTAATAAGTACTATTTAATATAGCATTATTATATAATATATAAGTTTTTTGTAAATCTTGCTAATCTTAATTATACTGCATTGCCAGATATTTAACAGTGAAACACCATCAAAACACACTTGTCTGACTTTACATTTCTATTTATTCTTAATGCTTCGGATGAAAAGAATAATGTTTGAGGGCTAAAAATTACAAACCAGGCTTGTTCTGATTAAGTACCCCTGTGTACATTTCTGGGAAGCGCCAAATACGTCCCAGGAGCTACATTTTATGCAGTTTTTGTTTTCCCGAATCCACCAGAGGCTTCTGTGTATGTTTTTTGAGATCTCAAATTTCTCTCTTAAGTCTTAAGCCTGCTCTTCTCGTGTAAATCCGTCCAACCGATAGTGTTTTAAAAAGCACCAATTGACCAGTGTCCACCCACTTCCCTAAACCCAATGACAGTGTTTTGAAAAGCAATCCAGTAAAGCCCTCACAGCAGCCTGATTTTTACCCCATTTTCAGATTTTACCACATTCTCACCGTGTTATTTACTTGTTTGTTTTATTTATTTTTTGACTTTTGTTCTTGTCTTGCTTGCTTTTTCGAACTGTTCTTCACTGGACTCAAACCTTGTTGACACAGTCAACTCTGTTTCTCAAATTTTCCACCATCCGTGGTGAGCCTTTAGACAAACAAGTTACAGTGGAAAAGCTGTCAACATAGAGCCAAGTGGTTAGCTGGTAGCAGAAAAAGGAATGGCATCATACCGCGACATAGCGTTCGTTTCATAGATGAAATGCAGCCATACATACTTCTGGCTACACAATTCGCGATCTCCAGAAATGTATATACAGTAGGGCTACATTTTCAGAATAAGCCTATGTTGAAAAATTAAATTTTCAACATCTACATTTCATGCATGCTCATACATTTTTCAATCAAGGCCCGTTCTGAAATACAAGGCCAAGGCCACATTTTTGTAAACCACAAAAACATACTTGAGCTTACATTTGGCTGCATTTTCTGGGTAAAACGAATGTGGTATGATGCCAATGCACTACTTTTGTTTTCACACTACTGATGCTTACAGGAATATATTATTGATAAATAAAAGCAGTTTGCTCGGTAGCTCGCCTTGTACAGTGTCGCACTTGGGGCTGACTGGGTTTGTGTCTGGTGAAGGACGGTTCCAGGAACCAGGTAAAAAAGCAATGTAAAATAAAATGATGGTAAAACCCATGATCCACTTTTCCTGTTTTGCTTTTGAAAACACTATCGGTTGGATTAAGGGAAGGGTGCGAGTCAGTTGAACGTGAGGTGATTTTATTTGCTGTTGCAACTGGCTTGCTTGGTTTGGGCCTTGTGGAGTTGCGCATCGATGGATTTGCTCTTTAGTGTTTGGACTTTCAGAAAATTAAACCACACTGAACTAAACTTCAACTCTGAAAACTGGACTGACACAGTTTCTATTAACTAGAATTTGTATGTTAAGCTGCTTTGACACAGTCTACATTGTAAAAGCGCTATGGAAATAAAGATGAATTGAATTGAATTATGCACAGTAATGTATTTGAGAATCACAAAAAAAAATTTTTCAGCCGCTGTTGGATTTGTAACGTTTGCAAAAATGTAGCCCATATTCCCAATGAGTCAGGGTGGGAAATATTTTTCCCCTATTTTTGGAAAAGAAAAAAAAAATTCTTATAAAAAAATATATAGGGATAGTTCACCCAAAAATCAAAATTATGTCATTATTTACTCACCCTTGGCTTGTTTTAAACCATTTTTGTGTTCTGTTGATATTCTAAAGAATGTTGGAAACCATTGACATCCATAGTTAGAAAAAAAAATATATGGAACTTAATGGTTACAGCCCACATAGCAAAATATCTCTGGCCCAGCTCTGGCCCACACAATTATCTTTTGCCTGGCCCACATGCCGCAGTAAATTATGGTACATGACTGGACCAAGTGTGGCTTTCAGACAAGGGCCAAAGATGAACCATTTCTGGGCCAAGTTTCAGCCAAGTTAATAACCCATAACTAGGGCCAGACGGAATCTGCGTACATTTTTTGCTATTTCTGCACAGAATTTTGGTAAAAATTAGCAAATTTCTGCAGAATTATTTTGGGAGTATCATAACTAAAACCTCAATATATAACATAAAAAGTAATACCTTTTTAACTTGTATTTAATGTTTACAATGCCAATCCAATTATTTCCACTTATATATATATATCTACTAAAATATATCTGCTAAAAGACAGAGAATATTACTTTACAAACTGTATTAAAAATAAATGATATAAATATTTTCATATTAGTCAATAATATTACTGAAATTAATTTTAGAACTGAAATAACATCAATGTACACACATTTACACAAATAAATAAACAAAATTAATGATCGGCTAAAAATCTGCGCACTTCTGCACGCGCAGATTCCTTGTGGGCCTACCCATAACTGAGCCTGAACTGGGCAAGATATTTTGGTGTGTTACTACTGCAATGAAATTGATAAACCCATGAATCATTGCGCTTCAAGTGTGCTATAGGCATCCTTTTTCTAGAAGCAACCTAATAGGTAGATTTTGTTTTTCTTTATTTGAAAATAATAAAAATGTATTTTAAATATGGGTCAAGATAAGCCAAAATTACATGGCCCACATGTCAATTATTAACTTCTGAGCCAAATACTAGATTTTACATCTGGCCCAAGTATTCTGTGCCATTCTTAAAGACAGTGCCACCTCTGCCTAACCCATGCTTTATGCCAGTGCCAGATGGATGCCTGCTGGGCCAGATTTATGCCAAATATGGGCCCGAATTCTTTGCTATCTGGGAGGTTTTCAACTGTCTTTTAATTAACAGTCTATTTAAACTCAAATTGGTTTGGAACAATTAAAGAATGAGCAAATGATGACAGAGTTTTTTTAGGTGAACTGTCCCATTAATACAGTAAAACTGCAGTTTAATTATGTTGAAAATTAAACTATCCGCTTATTAAAGTGTACCATCACTGAGCCAAAAAAATAGGTCATGACACTTTTTCTGATGTAAAGAAAAAGAAGAAGTCCGAATTATTAGCCCCCCTTTGAATTTTTCTTATTTTTTTAAATATTTCCCAAATTATGTTTAACAGAGCAAGGAAATTTTCACAGTATGTCTAATAATATGTTTTTTTCTGGAGAAAGTCTTATTTGATTTATTTCGGCTAGAATAAAAGCAGTTTTTAAAATTTTTAATAATAATGTTAAGGTAAAAATTTTTAGCCCATTTAAGCTAAAAAAAATTTGTCGATAGTTTACAGCAGGGGTACTCAAACTTTTCAGCCCGCGATATATATAAGTACCCCTAAAATAACAAGTCCAGTGACTTATATATATATAAATATATATATATATATATATATATATATATATATATATATATATATATATATATATATATATATATATATATATATATATATATATATATACATATATACAACAGTTCTGTCTGGATCTCAAATCTGATTGGCTGATAGCCTCTTTACCCTTTGTGTATTACTCTGACCAAATACAGCCAGCAACAAGCAGACACTAAAGTTTGACAAATATTACTGCTGTTACACAACAAAATATACTTTTGAGGCTTTTTTTGTCGAGAATGTAGTTGTTTAAATTGCAACTATGCAGTTTATTTGCAAGAATAGTGCCTATTTTAAAATATTTACAATTTCTGAGAGACAGCTTGTCGGGGGCCAAACAGGGTTGATGTTGTCTATCCACAAGATTGCGCCAGAACTGCATAATAAGCCCTTGCTGAGTGTGTCCTTTTGAGCGCAAATAAAAAGCTGAAAAGCCTTGTGGTTTTTAAGGTGGACCGGATAAAGTCAATATGAAGCTGCAAATAAGAAGCTGGATTCAGCCTTGTCCCTCCTTATTGCAAACACAACAGCAGTCTGGTGCAATAGTATCTGGATGCAGCCTTTATGATGCAGGCTGAGATTGCATCACTCAGCGACGCAATGTCAGTCACAATGCACTCAAATGGAGCGAGTGACATCACGGTGAGGGGTAGGGTTAGGGGTGGGGTTAGGTGAGCCCATTAAAAAGCATTCGATGCAGCTCAGATTGCACTGCACCAGGTCTGCATCCAGACCCCTCTCTTCTGATGAGAAATCTCTGTAGACGGATGCCATTTCATGTCACGTTCAGCCTTATATTCTTAAATGTGAGCAAAATTTGCTGTTTTGTCATCACCTTAAAGGGGTCACACATCAGAAGCGCCATTTCACCTTACGCTATAGAGAATCATTCAAACACTATCTCTAAAGTGATGTTGGTGAATTAGTTACGGCTTCTGATGTCAGCTGCAGGTGTGAATGAATGGCGGAAGAAAGTAGTTCCTAATACAAAAGGGTTTTAGACTCTCTGTGTTTAATTTTCTTTTTTATGTACAAGATTGTGCCGTCGAACTGTTGTATAAACGCAATATCACACGAGTATGGCTGTATATCAGCACTGGTGGGGCGCTAAGGCACTCGGCCGCGCACGCCTCCCACCAGTGCTGATATACAGCCATAGCACACTGCTACTCGTGTGATATTGCTCATATATTAACTGATTATTTACCTCTATGCCTTGAACAAATATGGTTCTCCAGCTAATATTTATTTCTTTTGTCTAATTTCCTTGACAGAAACTTTAGTATCCGAAGAAGATATTGATTAATTAGGTAGTGTTTTGATAAATTAAAAAAAAAAACACTTTGTCCAGTACTGGTTTAACTGATAATGTAATTCACACAGTTAATAGTCTCACCTTCCCACAGAAAACACAGTCTGCTCTCCTGGCCGGGCTTTGCTTCTGGCCACGCGGCTTCTGCGTCGCGTTTTTAAGATTTGTCCTTGCATGCAGTGAACGCAAGAGCTGATTTCACCTCCGAGATGAACTGTGTGGTGGTGAAGGGGAAGACCACCGACACTGTCTTTATGACGCAGCCTGGGTGAAAACAAGATAATTATAAAATAAATTATTTCACTAAAAATTAAAAAATTAAAAAATAAATCACTTCACTAAAAAGCCTGATCTCACGAGAAAACATATTTTATGTTTTGCCAGTTTAGTGGCAAGTTCGTACGAATTCGTACAAGTTTAGTCGTACGAAATTGTACGATTTTAAAAAGGAGGCGTGGCACCTAAGCCCACCCCTAAACCCAACCATCATTGGGGGATGAGCAAATCGTACTAAATTGTACAAATTAGATCGTACGAATTCATACGAATTAGCCTCTAAATCAAAAAGTTACAAATTGCCGTGAGACAGTGTTGGTACGTCAGATGTCATGTCACTTCATGTTAAAACTGCTTCTCCTAGTTTTTCAATGCAGATGTAATTTCTCAAGATAAATTTTCAAACTATCAAGCAGCAAAAAATTCTGTTTTTTACAACCAAAATTGCCAGTAATACTGTTAATTTCACAGCAATTTTTACAGTGTAAATATAGCGTGAATCCATTGACACCAGAAGTCAGATACAATATGTCTGTGTATGTCCATAGCTGCTTTTGCATGCAATACACACATATATATATATATATATATATATATATATATATATATATATATATATATATATATATATATATATATATATATAAAACTTTGGAAATACTTTATTTTTAAGTCACAATTCATGTCATAAACAAACCTTTAATAAAGACTATTAGCTCGATAAAATGTTAATTAGCTAATTATTAATAATTAACAAGTTGGATTTAGGTTTTGGGTAGGATTAGGGATGTAGAATAAAATCATACTTTATTACTACCAAAAAAATTGTGTTGATATGCGAATCATAGGTACAGTTGAAGTCAGAAATATTAGCCCCCTTGAATTATTAGCCCCCCTGTTTATTTTTCCCCAATTTCTGTTACGGAGAGATTTTTTTCAACAAATTTCTAAACATAATGGTTTTAGTAACTCATTTCTAATAACTGATTTATTTGATCTTTTCCATGATGACAGTAAATAATATTTGAATAGACATTTTTCAAGACACTTCTATACAGCTTAAAGTGACATTTAAAGCCTTAACTAGGTTAATTAGGTTAACTAGGCAGGATAGGATAATTAGGCAAGTTTTTGTATAACCATGGTTTGTTCAGTAGACTATTGAAAAAAGATATAGCTTAAACGGGCTAATAATTTTGTCCTTAAAATTACATTTAAAAAATGAATAACTGCTTTTATTCTAGCCGAAATAAAACAAATAAGACTTTCTCCAGAATAAAAATATTATCAGACATACTGTGAAAATTTCCTTAATCTGTTAAACATCATTTGGGAAATATTTTAAAAAGAAAAAAAAATCAAAGGGGGGCTAATAATTCTGACTTCATCTATAGATAATAAGCCAGAAGTAATAGCATGAATTGTGACTTAAACTACAGTAGTACTAACTACAACTTTTCAATCCATATGTTACTAAAAAAAAAAGACAAATGTGACCTGAAGGCTGTTTTTTATATATTTATGACAGTAAAGAATTAAATTATTATACCGTGGGTCATGATGTTCACAAACATTTTGGCCAACCAACATCTCTCTGAAGGCCTCCACATTAGCTGGAACACAAAACCATAAGAAAGGTTGTAAGAAACTATTTAAATACATGAAGGATTATAAATAAAATGCAGCTCCAAACATTTTATGTCATTGAAATAGATGTAGAATTTAATAATGCACTTTTTCTGTACCTTCATTCTCAATGATACACTTCAGAATTTGTTCCACAGTGTCTTGACTGTCTTCTGATACATCTGGAGGGAAAACAGAGATTTTCAATATTTTTTTAAATAATCTTTGATCATGATTGTACAAAAATGTGTCAATACACTTTTAGTTTGTTCAGTTTAAGGAGATTTGTTTAATATCAAACCCTGGCTTTGCCCATATGGGTAAATCCTCCATTAGATCAAGATGATGATCAATTTAAATAACTAAATTAATTAAAATTGCCTTTTTGAGTCCTCAACATTTACTTTCATATATAGCTAGTGAACTAATCATAACAAGCAATGTTTAAAGGGACTGTTCACCCAAAAAACAAAAAAAAAAAACAACAACATTTTGTTTGTAGTAGAGAATGCTGGAAACCAGTAACCATTGCATAGTAGGAAAAACAAATGTAATGGAGGTCAATGGTAACAGGTTTCCAACATTCTATAATTTAACTTCTTTTGTATTAAAAAATTATTTGGAACAAATCAGGAAAGAGTAAATAATGACATTATTATTATTATTTTATTATTATTATTATTATTATTATTATTATTATTATGAGGCGAAGCAGCGGCGCAGTAGGTAGTGCTGTCGCCTTACAGCAAGAAGGTCACTGGGTCACTGGTTCGAGCCTCGGCTCAGTTGGCGTTTCTGTGTGGAGTTTGCATGTTCTTCTTGCGATCGCGTGGGTTTCCTCTGGGTGCTCCGGTTTCCCTCACAGTCCAAAAACATGCAGTACAGGTGAATTGGCTATATAGGCAAAATTTTCCGTAGTGTATGAGTGTGTGTGTGTGAATGTGTGCTACCTAAAAACTTGTTGGATAAGTTGGCGGTTCATTCCGCTGTGGCAACCCCGGATTAATAAAGGGACTAAGCCGACAAGAAAATGAATGAATGGATATTATTGTTATTTGGAGTGGGTGAACTGTCCCTTTAAGCATATAAAGTCTTCCAGTGGTAGTGTCTGTTACATTCAGTTGAACAATGAGGTATTTCCAACCTCACTGGCAAAGGTTATAGTCACAACTTCATTTTAACAATGTTTAATTAAAGTCATAAACAGATTTAGAGTGATCCTCATTCTGTGTCCTCTGTGGGTGAAAAAATGTATTAATAAATCTATTTATCATATAATATCCCAGCTACCCATAAATGTCCGGGGGAAATTCAAAAGGTCAATGGAAAAACTGTGTTTATTTTTGGATCCAATGACAGATTACGTTAACACACGATCTGAGGGATGTCTTGATGTTAAGCCAAGAATCTTGAAGACAAATAACTTCTATGGAACATAGCTACAAAAGTAAAAATAATTTTAATTTCTCAAATCAGTTATAATATATACAATGCACTTGTTAATTTCTAAAAACTAGATAACACTTCATAATAACTAAACACTTTATCAGGGGTCGCCACAGCGGAATGAACTATCAACTATTCCAGCATATGTTTTACACAGTGTATGCCCTTCCAGCTGCAACCCAGTACTGGGAAACACTTGTACACTCTCACAAGCACACACATTCACCTATAGTGCATGTCTTTGGACTGTGGGGGAAACCTGAAGCACCCGGAGGAAACCCACAACAACACGATGAGAACATGTAAACTATGAAATGGCAACTGGCCTAGCCGGGTCTTGAACCAGTGACCTTCTTGCTGTGAAGCGAAAGTGCTATGTGCTAAGCCACTGTGCCACCTATTAATAATTTCTTAAATAATAAGTCAAATAGTTAGAAGGGCATTAACAGACATTAGTAAGCAGCAAATGCTGTTTTCTTGACTTATTTGCACACATATAATGTGCTTAATGATTGACTGTTAATAATTATTTGTTAATTACTAAACTATTGCATTATATACAAACCAGTTACTTAGAATTATTTGGTGTTTTATAAGATCATTCAGAATGAGTAAGGAAATGATAAATGAACTTCAAACGAACATTTATATATCTTTGTATTCATTCGTATACTAATAGTTATTCTGTATGTTAATACATGCTTTAGTAACCCACCGGTCCTACAACACCCAACATGGTCTGAGCTCGGATAAAACCGGCGATTCTTTGTATGGGAGTCAGTTGCTAACAAGGAGGCTTAAGACCATGGCCTCTATTGTTTGGCCCTTGAGCACTTTTAGAGGTCAGAGGAGTGAGGTTCACATGCATAGCACTTTGCTAGCTGGCCTCCATTACACTCACCCCCTAAACCTCATTCCCATCCCGGACGAACCCCCACATGTAACCCATCGGTCCTGCTGCACCCAACCCAGTCTGAGTTGAGATCGAACCAGCGACTCTTTGTATAGGAGTCGGTTACTCTAACAAGGAGGCTAAAGACCATAAAGACCACCTCTAGCGTCTGTGAGGTTTACTTGCATAGCACTTCGCTAGCTGGGCTCTGTTACACTTTATCAACATAAATTTCTACAGTTTTGTGAGGACTATTTACAGTTGAAGTCGGAATTATTAGCCCCCCTTTGATTTTCTTTTTCTTTTTTAAATATTTCCCAAAGAATGTTTAACAGAGCAAGGAAATTTTTTACAGTATGTCTGATAATATTTTATCTTCTGGAGAAAGTCTTATTTGTTTTATTTCAGCTAAAATAAACAAAGTTATTAATTTTTCAAACACGATTTTAAGAACAAAATGATAGGCCCATTTAAGATAAAAATTTTTTCGATAGTCTACAGAACAAACCATCATTGTACAATAACTTGCCTAATTACCCTAACCTGCCTAGTTAACCTTATTAACCTAGTTAAGCCTTTAAATGTCACTTAAAGCTGTATAGAAGTGTCTAGAAAAATATCTAATCAAATATTATTTACTGTCATCATGACAAAGATAAAATGAATCGGTTATTAGAGATGAGCAAATAAAACTATTAAGTTTAGAAATGTGTTGAAAAAATCTTCTCTCCGTTTTACAGAAATTAGGTCTAATAATTCAGGGGGCTAATAATTCTGACTTCAACTGTATGTTTGTAAATCCCTAATAAATGACAATTAAAAGCTCAGTTATATTCTAAACAGAACAAAGGAAATGAACGACAGAGTGGTTCAGAACCAAAAATATTAATTTCAAGATAGAAAAGCAAAACTGTTCTTTATCAAAAGAAACTTTATCAAATGAAAAATGAGTCTTCGCAATCTTATCCAAAAACAGAATAACTGCACAGTTAAAAAAAATCTACTTTTTTGTGTGCATGCAACAAGTTTGATGAAACAACAAGAACATAATAATTTTAACAATATTAAAACACTGTAAAAATGCTGGGCTCCACACAATTCATTTATGTTGTCCTAACACAAATCAATTAAGTTAACTTAACTAATTTAAGTGGACTGAACTTAAAACAGCTAAGTTGTCCCAACCAATATCAAGAATTGTGTTGCTTCAGCTCATTTTAAATAAGGAGTTTAAACAACCATTTTTCTGAGTGAATACACTGTACAAATAACATAATTCCTTCATGTTGTCCCAACTCAAATCAATTGAGTTAATTGTTTTTACAAATTAAGTAGATCGAACATACACTGTATAAAATGCAGGGTTCCACACAATTTATTCATGTTGTCCCAACACAAGGGACTTGTAAGTTAACTTAACAATTTTAACAAATTGATGTGGATTGAACATAAAAAAATTAAGTTGGCCCAATAAAATCTCAAGAATTGTGTTGTTCCAGCTCATTTTAATTAAGTAGTTTGAACAGGCTAATATATATATATATATATATATATATATATATATATATATATATATATTTATTTATTTATTTATTTATTTTGAGTGTAAAATGATTAATTGAGTAAAATGCCACATAATTCCTTTAAGTTGTCTCAACTCAAATCAATTAAGTTAACTTAATTGTTTTTACAAATTTAAGTAAATTGAACATAAAACAATTAAGTTGATTATTTTAAATAAGTAGTTTGAACAAGCAGCATAATAAAATATTTTTGAGTGTATGATGAAACGTTTCAGTCTTATTCAGTGATGTTTAAACTGTTCAATATTTTCATTTTTAGGTAAGAATGCAGAAAACATATTTTTTATCATTTACTTTTTTAATAATGCAATACTTAATTTAGACATGAAAAAATTATCATAAACAAAGTATCAAAACACTCTTTTTTACTATTTAACACTCTTAAAGCACATTATATATGTTTTTATAAGCCAGGAATACCACAATTTCAGTTTTATTTCTAAACTGCTTACTAATGTCCACTATTGTTAAGTAAATGCTTAACAAATGATGAATTAGCTTTTTGCTAATGCTTCATATATGATTAACAAGGTGCAGTTATTATATTGTTACTCAAATTTATTTTCATTTCATTAGATTTTTTCTTAAAGGGATAGTTCACCCCAAAGTTTCCGTTTGCTTACTATTTACTCAGCCTCAAGTGGTTTATGTACCCTTTATGAGTTTCTTCCTCCTGTTGAACACTAAAGAGAATATTTTGAAGACAGCTGAAAACCATTAACTTCCATAGTAAGAAAAACAAACACTATATCAATGAATACAGGTTTCCAGTTTTCTCTGAAATATCTTATCTTATATTTAACAGAAGAAAGAACGTCAAGCATGTTTAGAACGTGTAAACAGTGTGTAAATTATGGCAGAATTTTCTTTTTTGGGAGAACTATCCCTTTATTACGTATGAATTCGATAAAACAAAGGTTGACATGACTTGCCATCTTGGTCTGCTCCCAGTTTGCCTTCACAGTCTTCTTCATCCTCTTCCAGTTCACAGCGGTAGCCCTTCGTCTTCAATAAGTGACAGATTAGAAAACCCAGAAGGCCGGTGATGAAGAAGAAGAAGACAAGGAGGAAGATTGGGTATGTTGGAGGGGGATCATCCACAGTGGGGCTCTCCTGGTCTGTCATACCCCTCTGTCACTTACAAAGAAGGTTAGAAATCACACAAAAGGGAAAGAGTTACACTATATGGCAGGTAATGGTCACACACAGCCTGAATGGTCTCTCCAGCTTTCAGAATGTTTGTTTTTGTCACGCCATCTGACTCTCTTGGCTCTGAGAGATAATCAGCCACTAAGCTGCTTCAGGGCACATTTCATGTTAACAAGTCCCTTTATCTTGTCATCCAGGCATGTGGTGAGAGCAACTCAACCCCTCGACACCCTCTGTTTTTACTCAGCCACTGATAGATACACTTCAACAGCCTGAAAAGTATTTATTATCATAACATTGTTTAACATTTCAGTCTATTCGAGTTGTTCTAAAAATCTGCCATAAATACTGTTTATTTTTCAATGCCTCCTTGAGAGAAACCAGACTTATCTAGCGGAGTACATTACTTTAAAGGAAGATCTCACCCAAAATTTAAATTTAGAGTCTTATTTCCTCACTCTCAAGTGGTTCTAAGTCTTTATGTTTTTTTTTCTTCTTCTGTTAAACCTAAATGAATATATGATTGATAAAAGCTGGAAACAATTGACTTCCATAAAAGGAAAAACAAATGTGAAAGTCAATGGTTGCAGGTTTCTTCAATTCATGTCTTCTATTGGGTTGAGCAGAAGAAAGAACTCAAAGTGGTTTGTTACAATTTTTCTTTTTTGTCAAAACCTTGTTTGTTAAAAACAGTTTGAGAAAATTCCTTTCCTTTTGATTGTTGGGTAAATTAATAGGTTACGTTAAAAATATATATTTTCTGTTTGTTCATACTGGGGGGGGGTTTGGCCAAATAATGAACAAAGTGATGGGGTTAGACAAGCCATATTCTGTTTTTACCAACAACACACAAGCCTCTCTGACAAATGAGCGCTAAAAAGTATGATCGCTAGACCTATAGTTTCTGTGCACTATGCCAAAAGTGGAAGGAGTAAAAATTGTACTATTTATCCCACCCACAAGTTTTAAAGGGGTGGTTTACTACAATATCATATTTTAAACTTTAGTTTATGTGTAATGTAGCTTTGTGAACATAAGCAACATATCTGAATGTTATACGCTCAAAGTTCAATGCAAAGGAAGACATTGGCTTTTGCAGAGTTGGCTTACATTAGTCTACAGCTAAGAAATTTGGGGACTACAAAAAAATAAATCGGGGTAAGTGAGATCACAAACGCTTCAGGTTGTGTGCATTCACCTCACGCACGCACCCTGCCCAGCGAAGAGGCGTGGCCAGAGGCACAGTGAAAGCAGTGAAAGCTAAAATGCCGTCCAAACGCTGCTTTTTCCACAGGGCATGTTCTGTTTCTTAATTTGGGCTTCCAAAGGACATGGCACAAAGAGAGAAGTGCTTACAATTTAATTAGAGAGAATTATATTTAAAAAATACAGCGCTAATGTTTGACAAAGGAAAACTTCCAGAATCTCTCCCAGTTCAGTGCTAGATTCGGTTAAAACTCCTCCAATTATTAAAAAAATATTGAGTATAATAAAAATACTTTTATGCTGCAAAAATGGTTTCATCTGCGTTTCTTTTTTTAATAATTGGCAGGAAGACTTGTGCCAACACTGTGGTGAAAACCTTTGTTAACATCGTTAACCCTGAGCAAAGACCTTAAAACTCTGTTACATTTTACCCCGTGTTACATGGTGCCTCCCCTGCTTATTTAAAATAAGTTGAAAACACACAATTCTTGAGTTTTCTTTGGGATAACTAAATTGTTTAAAGATCAATCCATTGATCGATCAATTTTTGTCCGAATTTATGTTTTTAAAACTCATTAAAAGCTTTATTATATACAGGAGTGGGGTAATAGAGTATATTTCCTAGACATATCAACCTAGAAAATAGTAACTTTTCTGTTGGTTTTAGTACCCGATGTAACTACAGAGAAGTCTAATGGTCTAACCTAATTCAATAATTTATGCTAAGCTAAGCTAAGCTATGCTAAAAGTGCTCCTGCCAGAAACATATATCGACTGAATGAATTAACACTATAAGGGTTATAAGTTAGTAACACTATAAGTATAAGTTACACTATAAGTGACTTGAATGAGTATATTTCCCCTAAAAAAGTGTGTTTCTTTAACATGTAAAAACACTGCCTGTAAAGTCTGCCAGATGGTATGCTAGTGGCACATATATGACAGCCCTAGCATGTAAACAGTGAAAAGCTTTGAATGGTATTAGCATGAAGTAAACAAAGAAGTGTGTTTTTATGCCACCTTTCATGGCTTATAGTTTTTATAGAATTGCTGATTCGGTTATGACATTGGATCAACTTACAAATTGTGGCCTCTATCTATAAAAGAGGAAAGCAGGTAAGCATGAGAAAGCTGTTCTGCAGTATGACTCAGCATTCTCATGACCTCTACAACCAACATTCACTGATGACACCGCATGAATTATTCTCATCCTCAAATGATTGAAACCCTACCCTCCACCTCATCATCAATGTGTTTTAGCTCAGCCTATGTATTTTTATACAGTAATTTAGCCATTAACACAATATAAAATAAACTAATGTGTACAAATCCTGTCTGCAGGAATCTAATTTCACAAATTGTTTATGTAAACATATTTTTTAAAGCAGTACAGCTAATTAGCTAGTGATGGTGAGATGTACATTCAACAACAAATACAGGAATTACTGATTTTCAAGCAATGCTTTGAGATGCAGGCCTTCTTCCATTACCATTTATCGAGAAGCAATTATAAACTGATATACTTGCAGGATTCATATTTCTGATAAACTAGTACTGAATGTACTAAAGGTACACTCAAAATAAGGATTTCACAGTTTGTTCAAATGACTTATTTAAAATGAGCTGAAACAACATAATTCTTGGGATGTTTACAACTTAATTGTCTTATGTTTAATCCATTTAAATTCATGAAGTTAACTTAATGGGTTTGTGCTGGGACAACATGAATGAATTGTGCATAACCCTGAATTTTTTGCAGTGTACAATAGATGTCAGAAAAAAACTGCACTAAACTTATCCCAGTACAGCCAATAAATATCCTGAGGAACATTCACATGCAATGTATTGTATATGGTCTACTAATCTGTACACTTAAAAAAAAAGATGGGTTATTTCACCCCAAACAAATTTAAATAAAATATGGACAAACCCAAATGGTAGATCAAAAACCTGCAATCAGGACGAAGCAGTGGCGCAGTAGGTAAGGCTGTCGCCTCACAGCAAGAAAGTTGCTGGGTCGCTGGTTCGAGCCTCGGCTCAGGTGGTGTTTCTGTGTGGAGTTTGCATGTTCTCCCTGCATTCATGTGGCTTTCCTCCAGGTGCTCTGGTTTCCTCCAAAGACATGCGGTACAGGTGAATTAGGTAGGCTAAATTGTCTGTAGTGAATGAGTGTGTGTGTTTTTTTGCAGCATCCTCTGCGTAAAAACTTGCTAGATAAGTTGGCGGTTCATTCCGCTGTGGCGACCCCGGATTAATAAAGGGACTATCCAACAAGAAAATGAATGAATGAATAAACCAGCAATCGGTTTAGTTAACAAATAATAACAATAACAATTAACAATAAATAACAATTAGGGTATTGATTTGTGTTGGGATAAAATGAAGGATTTGTGTGGAACCCAGCATTTTTTACCCAAATATATACCTAAAGTTAGGGCTGCACAATATATCGTTTCAGCGTCGATATCGCAATGTGCGAGCACGCAATGATCACATCGCAGGAATCTGCAATGTAGTTCAGATTATAGTTAACAACATACTGGAGTAAAATCATATTTTAACCTTAGAGTGAAAGATTATTATTTGCATGTGTTTTTAACACATTATTATTAGCAAATTACAGCCATTTGGGCACAATAAATAAAACGTTTGTAGCTTAAAGATTAATTTTTCATTCATTCATTCATTTTCAGCTTAGTCCCTTTATTAATCTGGGGTCACCACAGCGGAATGAACCGCCAACTTATCCAGCATATGTTATACGTAGCGGATGCCCTTCCAGCTGCAACCCATCTTTAGAAATATCCAAACACATTCATACAATACGGACAATTTAGCCTAACCAATTCACCTGTACTGCATGTGTTTGGACTGTGGGGGAAACCAGAGTACCCGGTGTCACCCACGGGAATGCAGGGAGAACATGCAAACTCCACACAGAAACGCCAACTGACCCAGCCAAGTCTCGAACTTGCGACCTTCTTTGCTGTGAGGCAACCTACTGCGCCACTGCATCACCAAGATTCATTGTACATTATATAATTATATATTGAATTAAAACAATAGTGTTATTATTATTATTATACAGTGATTATTTAATTTCTGCTTCTGAATATTGTTTGACTTTCCAAAAAATCATAAATCATTGTTTATTTGCATATTTTCTCTGTTGTCTTTAACTTTGCTTGTCATTATTTAAATGATATTTTATGCAGATGTGCTTCCCTGCAGAATAATCCCAATCTATCTAAAACTATGAATTCTTCACAAGCTATTTAAGTCATTTGCTGAAATTGTGCTTATATCGCCATACTGGCCACTTTATTAGGTACACCTGTCTAACTGCCAATCACATGACAGCAACTCGATGCATTTAGCCATGTAGACATGGTCAAGCCTATCTGTTGCAGTTCTGCAGTTCAGAATAGGTAAGAAAAGTTATTAAAGGGTCTCTGAATGTAGCATGGTTGTTGGTGCCAGACAGGCTGGTCTGAGTATTTCAGAAACTGCTGATCTACTAGGATTTTCACGGACAACCATCACTAGTGTTTACAGAGAATGGTCCGAAAAAGATAAATTATCCAGCGAGTGACAGTTCTGTGGGCACAAATGCCTTGATGCTAGAGGTCAGAGAAGAATGGCCAGACTGGTTCAAGCTGATAGAAAGACAACAGTGACTCAAATAACCACTCGTTACAACCAAGGTATGCAGAAGAGGATCTCTGAACACACAACACGTACAACCTTGAGGCGGATGGGCTACAGCAGCAGCAGTGTGGGGGATATTTTCTTGACACACTTTGGGCCAATTAGTACTAATTGAGCATCGTGTCAGTGCTGTAGCCTATCTGAGTATTGTTTTTGA